TTGTATTTTGTTTATTAGTCATTTATAGTCTAGTTTAGCTCCCTTTCGGAATTGCACTTTATCCGGGAACACACGGTATATACGGCCGGGCCCGTGCTTTGCAAAGCAACATCCGATGTTTAGGCCTAATAAGTATTTCACGCTCTATCTCGCCAGTGCTGTTATCTGCATAGCAATGAATGATGTTTATTTATTTATATTTTTGTTAGATCATTGATTTTTAAAATGAACAACGTGGGCGACAGAAGGTTCTTGTGAGACACCGGCATTTATGGAATTAGTGTCAGAGCCCTTAATATGACAGAAGCTTCGACAGAGCTGCCCTACCAGACCCGAATAAATTCCTTAGCGTTATCAAGGCTGACAGCAAGTTCCTCATCCTTATTCTCGATGGTGCAATGACACCCTCTTATACCTCGTTTACATGCAGCGCGACTAAGGAGGGAAGTGGGCATGATGAGTATGTAATCACGATACTCGTCATGCCACTCGCGCTGCCCGGCGCTCCCCAAAAGAGCGGTTTTTTGTGCGGAAGTCAAAGGACCGGCAGCGCGAGTGGCAATGTGTGTTCACACTCTGCACGTCGCTTAGTTCGCGCCACGCGCTTGGTGTAGGGATGTGACATTGTGCATAAAAAAATCGATTATTAATTAATCAGTTTTTTCTTAGCATGAAAAAATCAATTAATAAACAATCGATTTTTCTTCAGAAAAAATCAATTTTTCCCTATTTTCCTAATCAATTTCAAAATAAACGCCATAAATACTGTATAAACGATCAGAGGGTAATGAAACCAAGCGACTTAATATTCACAACACTTTTATTCACACTCTTAACTTTGTTACATACACCCAAAGGACAGAGTTATTGCTTATTCCATGTACTGAGTTCGAATGTGTTAGAAAATGCCAAACGTCCCCTTTAATATTCTTACCCCCGTTTTACCAACGCGACCCATTTGACGTTTGTCATAGTTGTTGTATTGTCTGTGATAGTCAATACCACAACTATGCAAGAAAAGAGGTTTAAATACAATTAAACTACTAATATCAAACAAATATCTTACAACTGTATCAATATATTTATTAATTAAAAATAAATAACAGAAAAAGTAAGGTCTCATATAATCAACACTAATTAAACTTTTATTTAGAAGAATCAAATTGTAAAAGGTTCAAAGGACAATGGCAAACTCCCATACAATTTTTGGTTGAAATTTTTTATTGCGTCTATAAATGAATTGCATGTTAAATTATAGAGTTTACATTCTTGATTTGATTCATCTTATTTCTTATATTATAGGAAGTCCGAATTTATAGATATTCTACTTTGAAGTTTTGGAGGTTATGTCCTACCAAGTAATGCAAAAACGAATTATAAAAGTTTGTTTCAAAAGTATTTTTATATCAAAATAAAAAATACGTGGAACGGAACTATAGAAGTACACCGGTCCTGAAGATTAGTGACGAAAAAAAAATGTTTTTTACAATGTATGATCAGTTGGCTTTCTTTCTTTGGCGTAGGTACTGACCAACCGCGTCAAAATACTTATTATCAGACAAGAGTTATTGAGTTCAAATACAATGTCTGTGCTGTAAGAAGTACTTAACAATTTGAAAATGCCCACTGCAATAATAAAGTATAAAAAAGGATTTCTAATAATGTACTAATGGGATATTAATTAAATATGCAACACTTTTTATATATTTTTTATTCCACATCGTTGATCACAATATCGTAGATAGTAGATACAATGAAATAAAATCCACAGTATGGGACAGAATCGTGTCCAAAATCCACAGCAAAATATCAGATTCGGCAGTCTTAGGCAAGCACTACTCAACAGTCGCAGAGAAAGATTTCGAAAGTCCAAATACAGTCCAAGTCACATAAAAAAACAAATCTCAGAAAAACACAATACGCCGATTGAAATCTTTGCAATATGCATGCACCTAAGCACAAACAATGTTAAATAATGATAACAATAATAACAACAATTCGATGACAAGCATGACAGTGACAGTTATAGTTTTTTTTCGTTAGAATTGTCGCCATACTCTTTTTGTATTGTGGAGATTATTTAATATGGTTTCAGTATAATATTGAAAAATAATGTTTCCGATATTTTTGATAGATAATTAAATACAGGTCAAACGTAAAGCGATGCAAAACATACGAACAACATATTTAAAGTTGATTATATCACTAAAATCACTTAAAATGAATGGCTCAAAAGCCATCATGGCCAAGCCACAATAAAAATAAAAAACAAATAGTCAATTGTGTTTCCCTTTTTTCAAGTTTTTAATTCCAGACTTATACAACCCTCCTCAATTATTTAATAAATCTTTTGAGATTATTTTATTAACATTTCTGATAATGACATCTATAGACGCTATAGATTTACTTCAACAAATATTTCGCCATTGTCCTTTAAATGTTTTTCACAAAAATTAACAAAATTATATTATAGAAATAAATAAAAAATTAAAATGTATTTTGAATTTTAACTCTTAATTTCAGTTACCGTTAGGCTTAATTCGTTCGACACGGATAAATCAAGCATTTAACATAACACAACGAAACGAATGAATGAGTTGAATGAATTTACGTTCAACTTATTTAGTTATTTCTCTCAGTCAACGCAACGCAACGAAAATCGGAATCCTTTTTTCGCGAAAAATATTAGCAGATTGTTTGTTGATTTTTGTTTTTAGTAAATAATCAAACTTAAAAGTTAAATTAATGTTGGTGTAATAATTGTAATTATTAGAAGACAGAGACTTTTGAAAGTGCAAATAGATGAAAATTATAGTTAAAGGACATTGCTCGTTCCCCATACATTGAATGCCCTAGAACGCCCAGCAATGAGAAAATGCTAGTTGTGTTCGGAATCATTCATAAACTCTAAATAAGCATTTGTTGAGATACGGACAACTTGAGGAATCGTGGCCTACTACAGAATGTATTAGATTTTGAGGTTATAATTATTATACTTAATCATAAAAGATGTACACTTTATATATTCTGAATAGATTTAGTGTTTACCCCTATGTAAGCACATAAATAATATGCATTAAATGAACATAAAATGGAATTTATAATAAAAATAATAAATGCTTATATTCATATTGATTTTACCTTTAGGTCCATGCCTGTAGTAAGTAATGATAGATTTCTTTTCAAATGAAATGTTCAGTCTTTCCATTTAACTGTTTCTATATTTTACTAACGGTAATTAGGTATGTACCTGGTTATCATTATGATTTTCATAAAAATAAACAGATATTACATGGGATGGGAGTATAAACTATCTATAGATAATTTCAGAAATAATCTTTTTATAAATATAATATAAATACTAGTAATAAGTATTATTAACTAAGGTACCTAGTTCTATTTTTATGTTGATAAATACCTATGGTCGCCTATATTGCATAACTAAAGTAAACAATCTTGGCACAACTTTTTAACAGAATCACCCATTTAATAATAAAATATTAACGAAGAAAATAAACTATTAAAATAAATCGTTATTATAGACTGAAACCTATTGAATCCAGTTATCAGTTGATTTTTAATGCTGTATTTTCAATAAAAAGGAGTGCCAAGTTAGATGAACAGACTGTAGTATCTAGTAACAGAACTTTTATTTTTTAAACAGATTGTCCGTTTACTATGATTAATTGCTAATAAGTTAAAAAAATAATAGAAAAATAATAGTGAAGGACATTCTTTTGGGCATGCTAGGGCCGATTTCGTCGATGTCCTTATTTAGTATATTGTTGTATGTAAATAAAATATTGTCAATGTGTCGAGAAACGGGAATACCCAAATTTTGAACTTTTTTCAAAAAGACAATGTAACCAAAACAGCGGAGTGCAATTTTTGTAAAAGTCATCTTCATATAAAACAACGAAAATAAAATTTGTTATAAATTTAAAAAACCCAAAAAAAAAGTTAATTTTTTAACATGTAAAAAACATAACAATGCCAAAGTTCTTAACACTTAAATAACCTAGAGCAAAGCTATTTCTTGTAACGAAACGTCACATTAAGGAAATATGCTTAGAAAAACTTATAAGCTTTTAAGGCAACGTTATTTTTCTTTAAGTTCAACTTATTAAAGGTTGTGTTATTTAAGAAGTTTAGATTAGAACGAGTCTATTCATTGGTACTTCGCGTTCCGGAGTCCGGGCCAGGAAACCAAACATAGTCGGGGAGTTATAGATGAAATTGCTTGAATGATTATTAAAAAAATTGATTATTAATCGATTATTCCTAAAAATAAAATCACCTATTAAAATCATTTTTAATTTAAAATAATCGATTTTTTTCATAATCGATTATTTTTTCACGTCCCTAGCTTGGTGGCATAGAGAAAGGTAAATATACCAACTTGGTGGAGAAAGATGTGAAATTATTAATTAATTAATAAATAATATTTATTAATTTGTTCATATTAAAATTATTAATTATTTAAATTTTGAACATAATTATGGATTGCATTGAACATAACACAGCGCGGCCGCTGTTATTACTTCGACGTCTGCCATTGCCGAAACTCTGAAGCGAAGTGAAAGGTAGGGCAGTATGAAAACACATACATCTCACAATCATGCCGCAGCAATATTTAGAGAATTATTGCCAGCAACGCAAGGGGCAGCGGCATGGGCATAGTCTTAATGAGGTATTACACCCCCCCGTATGTGAAATTGTGAATGACACAGTTGCAATCAATGCACGTTATGCACGTTCGACCGGCACTTAATAGGATTGCTGCTTTGTATAAACAGATAAATAAAAGAAGCAGGTACGATACCTCAATCGTTGAAATAAATGTAAATAATACGTACTCGACGATTCAAATCTTTGCGAAATCTATGTAAATATACGAAAATGGAAAATTATATGTGGATGTAGAAGATAAGGCTGTACGATCTAAGTTTCCTTAACCTTCTCAATACGAAAATACTCTATAAAAAAACAAAACTAACCTCAAATATTGCTATAAGAAATTGTGATTTTGTTTTGCAAAATCTATATTAATTCAATAATTATATGTGCATAAACAATGTAAAAAAACTCATTTCATTTAGGCTGTAGGTATTATTATTATCTAAGGTTCATTAACTGTAAAAAACGAAAACATGGATTCACCTGTGTCGGCTTTCGCTATGTACAGTACAAAGAAAAAAGCGAATAGTGAGAAAAAGAAAAAGAAGCAAAAAAATGCGGCAACCTCACCAAAATCACCCTCTAAGAATATCACAGAAAACATGATAATCGAAGTTGCCCAAAAAATTAAACGTAAACAGAAAAAGATGAAGGAGCCAAAAAACATAATCAAAAAGAAAAGTCATAAAAAGAAGAAGTCCAAACAACTGAGACAACTTCAAACAGCAAAAAGATCTAAGGCTGTAAACCAGAGGAGTCCTACATTGTCTGAAAGTGATGAAGAGCCCTCTCTAGTACAAGTTCCAGTACATAATCATGTTAATTACTATGAAAATGATGAAACTGTTGATACATGCTCACAGTCTAGCAATAGCAGCTTTGAATTTACTCCAGTTCAGACTGACAGTGTAGAAGAAGGGCTAAAAGTATTCAAGTGGATGATCGCTCCATACAGCCCGAATGAATTCCTCAATAGAGTCTGGGAGAAAAAGCCATTGCATATTGCTAGGAATAAACTGGCTTATTACAAAGAAATTATATCAACTCCAAGCATAGATGACATGTTGCGCAATGAAAATATACAATTTACTAAAAATATTGATGTTACCTCTTATGTTAATGAGAAAAGGGAAACACACAATCCTGAAGGCAGAGCACATCCCCATTTGGTTTGGGATTTCTATCTAAATGGTTGCAGCATTAGATTATTGAATCCCCAAACTTATATTCCCAAGCTGCACTTACTAAATGCTACATTACAAGAGTTTTTCAATTCCTTTGTTGGTGCAAATGCTTACCTCACTCCTCCAGATAGCCAAGGTTTTGCTCCACACTATGATGACATTGAAGCTTTCATCTTACAAGCTGAGGGTAAAAAGCATTGGCGAATATATAAGCCCAAAAGTGAAAATGAAATATTACCGAGAGTGTCATCAAAAAATTTTGATCAGAATGAAATTGGAGAACCCATTTTGCAGGTAACTCTAGAGGCAGGGGACATGCTTTACTTTCCTCGTGGATATATTCATCAGGGAGTCACTATAGATGGAGAACACTCTTTACATGTAACAGTCAGTATGTATCAGAAACATTCATGGGCAGACCTATTTGAGAAAATGATTCCAGCAGCTCTTCAGATGGCTATTAGTGAAAATGTTGATTTAAGACGTGGCTTGCCTTTTGATATTTATGAAAACTTTGGTCTTGTCAATTCTGATGTTGACACACCTCGAAGAAAAGAGATAGAAGATTTAGTCAAATCTCTCTTTGATAAAATCAAAAACCATTTACCGATAGACGATGCTGTTGATCAGATGAACAAAAATTATCAGCATGATGCATTACCACCAGTATTAAGTGATGTAGAAAAGGCTGTTACAGTTTTTGGAGACTCTGATGTCATGGTTGAAAATGGAAAAGTAACAAATAGAGTTGAAATCGGACTTGACACAAAAATAAGGCTTTTGCGCAAAAACATACTAAGAATGGTCTCAGAGGAACGGATCAGACTGTATTATTATATTGAGAACTCTTTGGAGTACCATGGAACTGATTTGCCTTTCTTGGAAATTGAAGAAGAGTTAGCCCCAGCCATAGAAACATTAATAACGTCTTACCCTGAATATGTGAGTGTGGAAAATTTAGATGTACCAAATGATTCGGATAAGTTACAAATAGCTGATGCTTTGTGGTCCAGAGGTTTAATTATGACTGAATATCCATTAGAGACAATTGATGATGATTAACTTAATAATAAAAGTTGTTTTGAATTTATTGTTTTATTTCCAAATATGTATAGCCAATTAATATATTTTCTCCAAATTGAAAAAATGTTCATTAGATGGTGCGGGTCCCGTCTGCTACCTGGTCTGCATTAAATTTTTTCTTGAGATTTAAACATTTAGCACTTAAATGCTTAAGAAATAAAAACGTAAGTGAAATATATATTTTTTAAGCATTTAACTGCTACATGATTCAATTTAAAGAAAATTTTACTATAAGAATATTCCACGCGGTCCAGGCAACAGACAAGAACTCGGTATCTCGGCGGATGCACTGACCATTATGCTACCGCGACCCTAATTGTCCATTTCGAATTTTTCTCTAGTATGTCTTAGGAAGCGCGGTAGCGCCATTTCTGTGCGTCGGCACTGTAGGTAATCAACAAAGTGAAATGAATACCTTTTACAAGTAATAAATATTCGAAACAGCAATTATAGTCATATTTATAAGCATTTTTAAACCTAAAGAAAATCCAAGGAAAATAAAAATCAATAGAACGTCATCTCTTTCTGTGAGTAATTAGTTCTTGTCACAGTTCTTTAGTCATTGTCTGTCGCTGTTAGTATTCTTCAATGGTTTTCTATGAACACGTGCTCACTACATCAACTTCGGACAGCTAGTAAACTGACTTAACTGAAATACCGTCGTGAATTAGACAGATAAGATAAGCTTTTTTTTGGTTGCGTCTATTTATGTATTTGTCCATCCTTTCCACAATTCGGTATACGTAGATTGCGCTTCTCGTATGCATGGCGAGGAAGAAACAGAATCGGTTTTTAGTAACAATTTTATCAGCACAACTTTTGTATTTTTGCCGTTTTGTTTCATTTAACGGGTCTGCACGTTCGGAGCCGGCATAGCTTAGCAGCAATTTTCCAAATCAGAAAAATTGGACCAGATTATGATAAAACTTTCATAGAAACCTTTACCCTACCTGTGTACCGCTTGTCCACCTCACCGTCACCGTTAATAAGATTATTTCTGTAAGACAAAGATGACGTGACGGGCTTGCGGTGGACAAGGCTATAATAAATGTATTTGTCGCTATTTCAGCGCCATGGTTTTGTTCTCATAGATATCCCGGTGACGGCCGCGGTGGACAAACGCTCTATAGGTCCAATTTGAGCGGGAAAATTAGGACCACCTTACCTTATGATAAAATTCCAATTCCAAGCCGCCTGCTCCCAATCCTGTCCCCTACAGGATTCAGGTCGGCAAACTATGACTAAAGTGGCAGACTTTTCTATCTTTTTACTTTACAAAGGCCCGACAAATTTTAACGAGTCCACCTCACTTTTTAAAGTGGCGGTTGAGTCCAGACGAGAAAATCCAGACTTTACATGCCAGCATGCCATCCTCGCTTTGCAGGCCTGTAAAAGGAGAGTGGGAAACTGGGTACACGTAATGCGGGCAAAGCATTCCAATTGCGGATAGTGCGACAAAGAAATCAGTCACTCTTAGTACGCATTGGAATAGGTGGCCAGCCGCTGTTAAGGCACAGAAGTCGAAGTCGGAGCGGTGGCGGTCGAGAACCGTGTCAGGCGTGACGGTCGTGTTGCGGGTGTTTACACACCGCCAGGCATATAAAAAGTACTCTTTGCTGCCAGGCGTGTCGCAGCGGTGAGGAGGCGTTGCGGAAGAGTTTCGGTGCCTCCTGTGTGTTGACGACGGGTCATTGCGTATTTTGTGGGGATCGTTAACAAAAAATGTTTTATGAGTACACACGTACGGAGTACATCTATTGTAAATATCATTTTCGAAGAACAATTTTGTCAAAAAATACTTAAAACTGAATAAAGCTAAGCTAGAAGCACGCCTCCGCACCGCAACGTGCCGCCACCGCTCTGTGTGAACTAATATCTATAAGGAATGCAACGATCACGGCGCACGCCTAGACACCACTTCAGCTTGTGTCTGTGGACTTTCATACTAATTTGAACTATACAAAAAAACCGGCGACGCCTATGGCTTTTGTGACTGGCAACCGCGCGTGGTTATCTCTGAAGGAAAGGGAAACGTGGGATAAAAAAGGGGATAATACTGCAGAACACTCGTGTATAAACGACAGAATGCGCATAATACGCCACAGACTCGAAGTGTTCAGCCCACAGAAAACAGAAAGATGTTAGAAGGGTGAACGCCGACCGTTTGTATGGGAACCACTGGCGCCGGCTCGCCCCCACACAAGGCCTTTCTAACCCCTTTCTGTATTCTGTGGCTTAGTCAGTCACTGACTTCCACATCGCCAACGATGTGGGTTCCGCGCCGCAGCAACAGCATCGAGTAAATACTTGGTCCGAGAGGTGCGAGCAATATTCCACGCAAGACCGCACTTAAGTCTTGTACAACACGCACAGTTGCTCAGGCGTGAAAAAACGCCGCACCTTGTTACGGAGTTTGCTGATTTTATTACTGTTTCCATAGTTATTTAGATTTAAATATATTAATTATTTATTTTCATATTATCAGCTATTCTCGCCAGTAGACTCCACATTAAAATAAGGGTAAATTTGCTGTGTATAAAAAATAAACAAGATTTTAATTATTTTATAGCGCGAAAGCAACAACAAAGAAAAATTTAATAGCTTGTAGCAGAAATATTGAAAGGGAACATTTTGATACACCAATATTTCAGCAACCGATTTAGGAGTGACTAATTAAAACTAGTGATCTCTTAAATTATTATATTTAATTCTGAATTGCATATAAATTTGTGGACTTTCTGTTACAATAGTACTCTCGAACTGATATCTTTTGTATAAAACGCTAAAATATGTTTTACAACTAATGTACCAGACGACCATTGTCACAAACATTCGCTTCAAGTAGGTACACATTATAAACAGAAAATACACACACAATAATTTATAATCTAAACTTATTTCTCTTCAGAAATTAACCTATTTTAAAAATACTACCTAAACTTTAGGTACTTAAGATTTCCTAATACGTTTCACACACACGCGCACGGCTCATACGAGCACTGATTTAAAGTTATATATAACAAACTAAAAATATGGAAAACAATTTAACAATTATCTGGGCATTTGTGTACGCCTCAAAAGCATGATTAAACAAACGCCATACCAACTAAAAAGTGACGTAACAAAATGGAGGTTTTAAAGGTTTCCATGAGATAGTAGAAACACAATTAGCGACATTATCCGATCCCCTTGTCCAAGACAATATTAGCTATTTCAAGGATTTTTTTTACAAGCCACCTACGGAATTCCACGAAGATTGCAACTGAGCAACAATCAATAAAAAGTTGCTTTAACAGTTGCGCCATTGAGGAATAGCAGTAAATAGATTTGATTTAACTATAAGTAAGATTACTTCATGATTATTTTTTACAGTAGGCAGTGACAATTTATAACATTTGGTAAGTATTCAAACTGTACAAAAGTGATCTAATGGAGTACATTGCAAATATATCAATGAAATTTTGGTCCAAACTGTGGATAAAAATGAATACTATCAATTATATTTCTCACACTATACATTTTTGCAATCGAAACCCGATATATCTACTCTACAATCCAAGACACTATGATAATATTATCTTAAAATAAACACGGATCATATCAAAATATATTCTTATGCGAAGCCAAAACATCCAATGATAAAAACGTTCTGATTTTTTTAAATTCTTTGTACTGATATACAAGATTCGGTCGCAATATTAAATTGAATACCGTCGTTACATTCATGTTTAAACCTAGCCTTAATAACAAAGTTAAATTCTATTGCCTAAGTTTAACGGAGGTAAAAAACACCTCGTTAACCCATCTCTGCCTTATATTGGAGTAGTCCTATACGACACACTTCGCAAATACCAAAACATCCACTTAAATTGATATTTATAAAATTTATTATGCGATTCCAATGTGCCACGTGGAATTTTGTCCTATTATGTGTAGCTGCGTTCGGTATTTGCGTCTGATCAATCTTTTTAGTCTGAATCTTAGATTAAAACAAAAAGGGAAGATACGGCACTCGCGTCTCAAAAGTGATCCGCTTCAATTGTGGTGCATGACCACAATTCGCTTTAGTCACAATTGGACATTCAAAGACGCTGCATGTGCACTCAATATAACAATATTACATACGTGTTATAATAATAAAACAATGCCTTTAATAAAGAACACAAAGAGTTCAAGATCAAATAACAAATTTCATCGCAACACTTTTCATTCGTAAAACTATGAAAACATTTTTTTTCTTAACATCACGGTTTGGCATCAATGTTATTTACTTTTCGTCATTTATTATCAAGAAAAGGACAACAATATCAGCCGTTTGTAGAAAGAAGACTGAAAACGCAGTCGCCAAGCCAAGCGACGCGGTCTCGCAGTTTCGCTCGCGCTGCGTTGAAGCGTACAGTTCTGTCTCGCTCATTCGATTGATTGTTTATTTCCATACGTATGCGTGTGTGAGAGTTGATTATGTAGTTGAGTCGGAGCATATTTTATTTGATGATAATATGAGCATACCGTTTCTTTCCTTTTTGTTTTAATCCAAGGTCTGAATCATTCGTTTATTACGTCATTGCACTTCCTAAAACTCGAGTAGTCGTTAAAATAGCAGTACTCCATAGGCGTCGAATGATTTTTTTTAAACACAAAAGTTATTAGTTGTAAATATTTACAGTGACCCCTAATGTTAAAATTTAAACTTACATTAATATAATTAACCGTCTACTCTGATTAATTTTCGTCTTAATTGGAAATAGAAATGACGTTGTGATGTTCACTAAGGCCACATTGATAACATGCAAGCCTCATAAACAATAGCATAGATTTATATTATTATGAAGTATAATATTTTATTAAAACATTTTATTCACACATGAGAAGTTTTAGAAGGAAATATCTGCCCATAGACATGAAGTTACACAGAATAGAAAGCATATGAAACTACAGTAAAAAAAAAACAATGTTGTATTTAAGTTATAATTTAAATATTATCTTTACAAGTCAATTCCTAGAACATTATACTTCTATATGTACCTACCACACACAGTTAAGTTAGCTACACATTGCGCTATATTCTGATTACACTAATAATAATTAAAAATGTAGTACATCTCATACTCAATATTTATTTCAATAATCTGAAACAATTATAGTGACACCGATCCTATTTTAAGTACCGCCTATGCTATTTCAAATTTCATTGCAAAAATGATAAATGAGATGCACTATATTCCAAATCAGTGTATAGTGTACTTTAGAATAAAGTCCAATGTTGCTTGAGCCCAACACCAATAAAAGATCTGCTTAATGTAAGATGATATCTTCTCAATGAAGGAGGTCGCCATAAGAAAATATACACAAATTGCAAGTTAAGCCATTTAAAAAAATAGAAGGGAAATAGAATAGATTTCTTTCAATAGCTGTTATTCATACCAAATTTTTATTCTCTGATGACATAACATTTAACTTCGTTTAAAACTTACATTGACATAACTTTATATTGATCAAAAACATTTATTGCTTATCATTTCCTTCACTATAAATATAAATCCATACTCCCAATAAAAGTATTTATAAAAATGGCAACGTGTGTTGGTTCCTCGTTAGCTGTTGTGTTTTGAGCAAAATGTACACACATTTTAAAAAAAACATCACTTCAGTTCATAAGCAGAACAAATCGACTATTATTCACAAAGATTTTATAAAAACCGTAAATTGCCTTAAATTCTCGACTATTCTGCTATTAAACTGTAATGTATGAATTCAGGACATACCAGTCTTCCCTAGAGAATTGTTGTATTGTATTGCCGTTTGATCGTTACGGGGGCTACAGCTATCTTTATGGTATAGATAATGGTGATGAGTGTCCAAGCACTATGACTGTCTTCCACAAGCTGTTTCTTCGTGGACTGCTTACAAAGTGCTTATCAAAATTGTTTCTCTTAAATTTTCAACTATTCAGCTAGTGAAACTGTAAATTAGAACATACCGGTACACTTTCCTGTAGAATTATTGCATTGCGTGGTGCTATCGTACAAAAGCACCGTTTAATGTTACGGGGGCCACCGCTATCTATCGAACGATCGACGCGTGTTGGTTCCGCTAACTCTGTTATGTTTTAAGCAAAAACGTATACACATTTTCGAACGCGAATAAAAACAAAAAAATCACTTCAGTTCATTGGCAAAACGAATCATCTGACGTTCACAAAGTTCTTGTAAAAATCATTGTTAACTGTTCACGAAATTTTCAAACTGTTCCGCTGTTAAACTTTAAATTTGGGCGTGCCGGGTACACTTGTTTGGGGAACCGTCGTGTTTTGTTGCATTGCGCGGCGCTAAACGAATCTTCTGACGTTCACAAAGTTCTTGTAAAAATCACTGTTCACTGTTCACGAAATTTTCAAACTGTTCCGCTGTTAAACTTTAAATTTGGGCATGCAGGGTACACTTGCTTGGGGAACCGCCGTGGTTTGTTGCATTGCGCGGCGCTATCGTACAATAACCGTTTGAACGTAACGGGGGGAGCCACCGGTATCGTACCGGATCTCTCTACGGCACGATACTGTATCGGTGGCGAGTGTCCGAGCACTATGTGTGGTCCGCGTATTATTTCTTCGCGGGCGGCTTCCGGGGCGTGCGGGTGCTCTTCCCGGTCGATGTGGACGGTGTCGCCACTACGGGAGATGGTTTGTTTTCTGTAGCAACCAAATTAAGATAAACAATTAATATATATTTCCAACACTCACACCAATTAGCCTAGCCCCAAAGAGGGCACTATAAGGCTTATGTTATGGGATGCTAGGGTAACGGATAAAATACATATACTGTACATATATAAGCATATTTATATAGAACTACATATTAAAATGCTCGCATTCATCATACAAACATCTACCTCACTGGGATTCGAACCCGGGACCTCTTGAGTCGGCGACACCATGAAACCCGGCGTACAAACCACTCGACCACAGAGGTCGTCAAATCATATAATTAATGTAAGTATATTTATTTAATCAATATGTAATGAAAAGCGATTTCATGAATCATCTCTGAAGTCATTTTTCAACTTGATGACTCTGTAAATAATAAAACTGGGAGAAAAAACAACCCTTGCTGAGTTTCTTGCAGGGCCTTCTCAGTACCTTGTCTCCCGCCACAGATTAACGAACCGATGGCGTAGCTTCTAGGCTAGACATTCATGAGTGGTTGTAACAGCCTAAACTGAATAAATGATGTTGATTATGATTGATTCTGTAACCAATGCAACCACCTGTCATCAACTTTCAAATTTTTTTTGTATTAATAAGATTTTATTATTTTAAACATTAATGGGCTTGTGTACTAAAATCTTGAAAAAATTACCACTGGTAAAAAAAAGTAATTTTTTTTTAAAAAAACAAGCTTTTATTTAAATGCGCTAAAAGAAAAAAAAACTTTTACATGGGGGCTCCCACGATTCTGGAACTCAATTCTCCACCAATAGTCTTTTATAGGACCATTTAAAACTTCATGATTGTTTGACATGAACTTCATCACAGCATGAAATCGGTACATAAAATGTTTAAAAAATTTCAACTAAATTAGTTAAAGATATCTGTTTCTAAATAGATTTTCAAATTTTAGAAGTCCGCCATATTGGATTGAGAATGACGTCACATTTTTTTCGAGTTACTCTCAGCAAGCCCTTTAATTTGATACCCATATTGTAGGAATGCATTAAAAATGATTGGTCCGCCATTTTGGGTATGCCGCCATATTGGATTTAGAATGACGTCACACTGTTAATCATGCATTGTCATCCGAACTGAACGAGCATACCAAATTTCAGCTTAATCGGTTGAGGGCAAGTGCTTAAAAATTGAGTTGTAAGATTTGACCGTAACAAACATACATAGCAAGTTAAATAAAAGCTTGTAATATTTCGATTTAAGTGCTCGGCAGGTTTCGAAGCCGCGGCTTCCACTATCCTAATGGCTAGGAAATCCTAATGGTTGTACTGAATTTGTGTAACAACTTGCAATGATTTTGTAATCAATCCATTAATAACAACGACTACTATTTCCAATAATAAAATTTGCTAAATAATAAAAAGGCCTCCTTTAACAACCTGGAGTTTCCTTTGCCGGATCTGTTGATGTGAGACTCTATGAGTCTTCTTACTTAACAAAATACATGAATATGTTAAAGAAATTCGAGATATTTGCATTTTTGAACAAGGAAACATTTAATTGTTAAATACACAAATTAAAAAATTCTATACCAGTTAACTTGCGAGTCTGGACTCCACCGTCACTTAACATCAGGTGGGATGGAGTCCTTTTCGGACATATTTATAAAAAAATCGACTTGGTAAAGAAGCGTTGGGTCTGCTTGATGGGTTTAGGCAGATGCTATGACATGATTGAGTTGTCTGCTAAAAGCGTGACGCCTTCATCCCCGCTGCTCGCATGTAGGCAGTGCCGCCTTTGACCTATTGGAGGCCCTGGGCATATTAGGATAATGGGGCCCCTATGACTTCCGTTTGGTAATTTAACAGGAATATGGACTTTGTATTTGATCAGAGGAGGCCTATCTATCGATCGCGGGACCCTGGGCACTTGCCCAAAGTGTCCACTGGGAAAGACGGGTCTGCATATAGGTATGTGGCCAGTACAGCAACTTCGATTTATCTCGAAGAAGGTTGATTAAAATAATGCTCACATTTCCAAACATGTTTGAGAAAAAGTAATCAAAGGATACATTCTTTCCTCCATACAACTCTGCACAATCTTGTACATCAAGTTTTATAAACGGAATACCAATTTATATTGAATGTATTGAGATTTTGACGAGTCCTTTTAAGTACCTATAATTTAAGTTGCTTTTTGAGATAATTTGTATCAAGGTTACAAAAATGGACAAAAATCGAAGGTCTCCTTTATAATAAATATGAACACTAGTTACAACTCGATGGTGCGGTTAGCGGATAGTTAGCGCGTTCGGCTGCGATCGTTGAAGTTAAGCAACTTTCGCAGTGGTCGGTCATTGGATGGGTGATCTTCGATCTCGAGGTCCTCCGTGCTTCGGAAGGCACGTTAAGCCGGCTGCATCTGCAGTCGTTAGCACCCGCCAATCCGCACTATGACCGCATGGTGGGTCATGGCCTAATCTCCCTATTCCATCCATAGGGAAGGCCTGTGCCCCAGCAGTGGGGACATTAATAGGCTGATTATGATGACTAGTTACGGTACCTTTAACATTTCTCCTTCCTTTACGCGTGGGAGTAGCGACGGGCGTCTCCGGTTTTTTAGCGGGCGTCCGTTTGGTCTGCGCCGGCGTCGACGTAGACTTAGCTTTAGGCTTTTCACTAACCGCCGTCGCAGTCTGTGGATGCGACCGTGGAATCTATATTTTGTCTATACCAATTTACGCTTTGATAATGATATCCTTTGCCATTCGGTAAACAAACCCCAAGTAAAAATACAAGTTATCAAAATATCTTCTTAAATCCTATTCTTCTTTTAAGTAATGGTTTTAATGTGCTGACCAATAAGTGGTTATGCAAAAAGTAGGTCACACGTAAAGGGGGAGGGAGGGGTCGACGCAGTCTGACATTATATGAAAGGGTTGGAATGGTCTTAGTTTCGTGACGTCACTTTCCAAAATCTTAAAATCTCTTATCTATTAGACAAGTCCGTCCGTCCGTCCGTGGTGCTGTTTCAGCGGCCAAACCGTAAGAGATAGATAAAGAGAATGTTTAAGTTATAAGTTGAGAATAGTCTGATAAGACTACAAACCGGATGTGAGTAACGTAGCACTTCCGGTTTTCGAGAAATCACGTGATTTCTATTTCAAACGAAACCACACAAAATCTCCGAAGTTCTCAATTAATTAAATACTTTTTTTTTGGTGAACATTTGGTTCACTGGTTTGCTAGTTATAAACTAATATCATAAAACTATAAAATATTTACAACTCTAACTGTATGAGTTGAGGAGCTGGCGAACAAAACAGTATAATAGGGTATTTTCCAAAATTTTGAAAACTGCTTATATTTAAAGATTGGGACAAACGATTTAATAGAAAAATTAAAATAAATTAATTAATGTCTTTATTTCTCCATTAGACCAATTAAACTTGAATTTATTTTTAATGGTTTTGAATTTACTACCAAAACGCTTGGTTCGATGTCATCTACTGTGTGACGTCAACTATGTGTATGCTATGTAATCACCTGAAGCTCAAATTTATTAACTTTTTTTGCGTTCGGGATAAATTTATAGTATAATACTTTGCAAATTCCTTCGCTACTAATCCTGACATTTGAGCTTCAGAGTTTCGAAACATCCAAAATTTTGTGTAAGTATTATACTAAAAATTTATCCCGAACATAAAAAAAGTTAATAATTTGACCTTCAGATGATTACATAGCATACACAAAGTTGAAGTCACATAATTGACGTCATCGAACCGAGCGTTTTGGCGGTTAATTCAAAACCATTAGAAATTAATTCAACTTTAATTGGTTTAACGGAGAAAAAAAGACATTTATTTATTTATTTTTATTTTTCTGGTCAATACTTAATCCCAATCTTTAAATACAAGTAGTTTTTAAAAATTTGGAAAATACCCCATTACGCATATGGTCGAAATACTTTTTTTTTACAGTCTGGAGGTTTTGGGCCCACTGAATGTAAATCTCTCTCATTTTCAATCAAAAGCGCTTAAAACAGTGTTAAAATTATTAAATTAAAAACTGCGCCAAAAATTCACTGTAAATATGTCATTCAGCTCCTGTAAAATTTAATTTTATGTAATTAAACCGTTTTGTTCGCCAGCTCTTCAGTTTTAATTTGTTTTGTTGTCTTATCGGAACAAATTATAGGAACAGGTGTTTAAAAAAACAATTAGATGCAAAATAGGATAACATTTGACGTCGCACTAGGGAAGGGGGATTCTAGTGTGTCTTACTGTGACAAGGACGGGAAAGGGCTAAAAAATCACGAAAGTAGTGTGACGTACTTTATGCATGACCCCCAACATCTATATACAATAAGAGGATTATCAAAAAAGAGGGGTTTATTTATCAAAGAGGCGATATGAAATATTTATAATGCAATTACTGGTCTATTGTGTGATTGAAAACTGATCTCGTTATGTTATTTGCTTGAGTTTATTCAAAATCATATATATTAGAGGAAATTTTTCTATTAAATATTATAAACTATAGAAAATCAGTAATTTTATTTAAATAATTCATATCTAGGGATTAAGAAAATTGTTAATCTTTTTATTTCATTCTAGATTTTTTTTCGAATCCTTTTAAGGAATATTGACTTTAATCATTAATATATTTTTTTTATTTAATTAAACACTCAAGGTTACAAAAACTTCATTACTTAACTCCATGCAATAGGAGCATGCCATAGTTTAAAATTGCAAATAATCAAAGAAAATAGGCAAAATATAAATAAATAAAAGTATAAGGAAATTATATAAAATTGAACACAAAAAGCAAGCAATGATAATGAATGAAGATGATATAAGTAAGTTAACATTTCCTATACAGATTTAATTTTGGTTATAATTATAATTAAGCAGAAATACTGTGTTAGATATAGTTGTATTTTTAATTATTTTAAGCATTGAACTATTTAAGTTCTGTAACTAAGTGTTTTTGGTGCAAATAAAACATTATCAAAGGTATAGCAAAATTAAAACTGAATGAACCTATTCATCAATAAAATTTAAGAATTTATTTTAATTATTTATGCATAATTTAATTTTTGCATGATAAATTGATAAAGCAAAACATTATAATACTTAATAAATTTTGCCGATTTTAATAAATAAGTTTATTTTTATTATAAGCGTTAAGATGATCCATATCATAATTTGGTTTTACATTAACATGGTCATATAACACAATACAGTCATTTAAAATCACGATGTTTTTATTTTTTATTATCTTTGTATATTTAATATTTTTCATCTTGTATCAAATATGTATAAATATAGCTCTTATTTGAAATAACATTCTGAACGAACGGTAGCCATTCCAGAATACTTTAAAGTATAGATAAGTAAAGATTATAAAACAAACTGCATTAAGTTAGGATTAGTAAATCTGTATTCAAATCTCATAAATTATATTTGTCCACAAAAAATAATGAATGGAAATGAATATGGACTGTGAGATATGATGTCTCTATAAAATGTACCTTTCAAATACCTTTGCATGTAAAACCTAATTGAGAGAGTAACTCATACTAATCGAGAAAATTAACTGCTATTAAATTTTCAATGCTTATAATATAAGCATAATAGGATATTTGACAACTTTTATAAAACGATCTCACGTTATTAACTAATTTTTAAAGAGTCCATAATAAGGATATTCATCATTCTGTTGTGTATTTCAGTAAAAAAAACTAAATCAAAACTGAAGTTTGTAAATTGCCTCGAAAACGTTTCTCTGAACATAATGGCATCCCATTAGTATCATCACACGACTGCCTTTAAAACGTCAAATGTTTACAAGCGTGTGACGTCATTTTAGTCTTCGCCAATCCCAGGCATTTTCGGTCACATAACAAAAAATATTTCTATTTCATGATTCATGATTTTATAGAAAAGTTATTAATTATTTGTTCCCTCTGAATATTTAGTAAATACCAACAATTTTAACTTTATTTTTCATACATTATTTCATGTCAAATAGCCTATTAAGTAGAAGAAATATCCTTCCATGCATCTAAGTTTAAGGTATTAAGGAAACATGCACTTCGGAGTAACTTGCGTTCCTTTCACCATTACAAAAGAATAATTAGACCTAACTTAAGCACCTATCGTTCATAGCTCGATGGGATCCAATGTATGGCATGGCCGTGAAAGAATAAAAAAATAATAATAATACCTTTACCCAATCAAAATTAGGTTGGAGTTTACGCGAGTACTGTTATCGCATATGCGTATCAATGTACATAACATTAGGCATGCACATCGATAATAAAATTCATTAAACTATAAAATCAAAGAAAAACATAATATCAGATAACCATCTTTCAGACATGTTCATTCTCCCAACTAAAACTTAAACATATAAGGGGGCAATAAAATCAAACATGCTGTGCTCTTGTCTTTCATAGCGGCAATAGGAATGTTGTCTAACTTCTGTTTCTTTGTCTATCAGGTAGATTATTAAAACGACGTATTTTTTCTTTATTCACACAAAACATTACAGAGATTTAAATTGATTTCAAATGTTGCATGACGTCACGTTCTGGTGCAATTTTCAGTTAGTAGTGACGCCAGGAGGGTCCACACCCAAACTTTGACTGGCTTTTTTTTTTTACATTTAACTGCTGATGTTTAAATCGAAAGAAAACTGACGTATCAGTTCCAGAAAAAAAGAAATCTTTCGCTTTATCTTTGTAATTTTTTTGGTTGAAGATAAAAGAAAAAAATGAGTGCCCATTATGTTTTAACAATCTACCTGACGACGGACTGAATAGAATTTCATTTAGTTTACACCGTCACAATCCTTATTATTCTAATTTAAAACTCACTATCACGGCGCTGCTAAAGATATAGTTATATACATATATAGCTAAGTAGACATATCGCCATCCCCTTCGCACTGCGCACATTCAAGCCGCGTGCGAGCGGGACGGAGAAGCACAGCGCATTGAGATGGACAAGTCAAATCTAAGTCTAATCTAAAATGAGTGCAACCTCCCGGACTATTCGCTAACTTTTTTGACATTTACAGTATGTAACTAAATAGAAAATTGCATATCGACAGTGAAAAAGAAAAATTGCTTACACGCCACTTTGGTGCTGCTTAAAAATTAACATAAAATGATAGTGAAATTTAGTCAATTTTTAAGCAACACCGAAGTGGTGTATAAGCAATTTTGTTTTCCACTATCGATATTCATCGAGGCTTTTCGGAACAATTATCTTAGTGGCGTTATGATAAATCAGTTGTGGATCACTAAATGGCTTAGTGATTATCACTTCAATGTGTCAAAAGCAGTTAGCGAATAGGCCTATTGCTGCTATGTGACTATCCTGGTCACGACACCAACTGTAAAGGATATTTAGGCCCGTATAATAGAAAGATTCTCAGTGATTGATCTAGTCTTGAGCATAGTTAGAAAGGGATGTATCTATATATAGCACATAGCGACATCCCTTTCTAACTGTACTCAAGTAAAGATCAACATTTAGTTGACATTCTGTAATACGAGCCTCAGTGCCCTATGGGCTTATCGAAAATGAGTAAGTGAGGCCTGTGGAACTATCTAATAAGAATAGGCCTATAAGGCCCTTATGCGCGTAGCCAAATAGATGTCTTGGTCTATGTGTCTATCTGAGATAAATGAGGTGATTCAATTCGCGACAATATCGTAATCTAAATAATAGCAATCGTAATCGTCGTTATTTTTTTTTTAATGACACCAATATACATTTTGACATCCCTACCATTTTTGTGGCCTTAATACTCACCACTAGTCGAATTCGCCGTTTAGTCGAAATTTGACATATTCTACTTTTGACATCACAGTCTACTTAAGACAGATTCTACTTTTGACATTATAGTCTACATATGGCAGAATCTACATTTAACAGATTTTGAAAAAAAGTGAAATTAAAAAATATTTTTATGGAATCGGAAATGAAACTGCTATGTTATCACTGTATTTATTTATAAGCATAATTTGTCAAAATGTGTATTGGCGTCATTCAGAAAAAAATAACTAGACTATCACCATCGTTATTAATTGAAACTACGACATTGAGGCGAATTGAATCACTTCATTTTTCTAAGATAAGACACATAGTCCAGCCCCTCTAGCATGACCACCAAAACGGGATATCATAAAGCGATATATCGACATTAACTGTCAGACTACAGTGGAGTTTGACAGTAGTCTGACAGTTAATGTCGATATATCGCTTTATCATATCCCGTTTTGGTGGTCATGCTAGAGGGGCAGGACATCTATTTGGCTACGCGCATAAGGGCCCTTTGCGCCTATTCTTATTAGATAGTACCACATGCCTTCATTTCAGATAAGCCCATAGGGCACTAAATATATTTTACAGTTGGTGTCGTGACCAGGATAGTTACGAAGCACCAGTAGGCCTATTCGCTAACTGCTTTTGACAGATGGAAGTTAAATCACCAAGCTATTTAGTGATCCACTGCTGCTCTATCATAACACCACTAAGATAATTGTTCTGAAAAGCAACGATGGATATGCAATTTTCTCTTTAGTTACACACTGTAAATGACAATGTTTTTCTCTTTAGTTACACACTGTAAATGTCAAAAAAGTTAGCGAATAGTCCGGCAGGATATACTCATTTCAGATTAGACTCAGGTTCCACTTATCCATTTCCAGCATCACACACACTAAATGTCGGACATGAATGTAAATGGCGATGATTGCGGATACGTACATTTCTATATATCCGTTGTACTATGCCTACCTTGCTTGTGGTCGCCACAATGGGCGTACTACCTGCTGGTTTTCGCTTATTGTTTATTTGTTGTTTGGGCGGCGTTGGTTTGGCTTTGGGTTTGGATTCGTTAATTTTTGGACTGCGCTTTGGCGTCGTCCGCGATTTTTTCGGTGGAGTCGCCTCCTCTTTCTGTAAGGAATTTGGAATTGTGGTGAAATTTGGAATAAGCTTCTAATGTATCATATTTTTTTTTTGTATTTATTACCTGTATTTGCAAATGAATGATTGTTTCTATATCGGAGACACGTAAGAAACACGGTATATGGTAGCAATCCTATTAATAAGGGGCCGTTCAAGTATTACGTAAGCACTATAGGGGGGCAGGGGGATCTTTGCGTTGCTTATTTTTGATGACATGGGGGAGTGGGGGGATCGAGATAGTGATTACGACAGCATTATGGATTCGAGTGTCATGGACTGAAGATTGTATACATATACAAAAAAATCGAAAGAAGTTGGTTTTGTTCGTAATAGGACCTTACTCAATGTTGAATACTGTGTCAAAAAAGTTTGTTTCAATGAATATTATGTGCGTTAATGTCCTCTATCCTAAGCCTATTTAAGTGCTCATGAAGCTCATGAAAGCTCATGAATGAATAAAAGAAAACAGAATACATTAAAAGAAAAATACATAGGTACCAATGTTTACGTAAGCACGTGAGGGGGGGAGTAAGAGCTTTACTTACTTTTGCTGACACGGAGGAGGAGGGGATAAATAATTGTAATAAATCTGCTTACGTAATACTTGAACAGCCCCTAACATAAATTCCTATCATGTTAGTGACTATGAAATTTTAAAACAATATGCAGAATACTAACCGCAGTCTCGCTAGCGTTGTCAGTTTTGCCGCGCGGTGAGGATTTAGAGCTGTTCCTTTTGCGAGACTTCTTCTCCAGTTGTGATTCATCTGTATACAAGGAGAGGTCCACTGTTGGGGAAAATAATCAATTACTAAATATATTTTGGACGACACACACACTGCCTTTAAATCCTATTTTTTTGTAAATTGAATTACAATTTCCCAGTGATTCACTTCCTAAATAAATTATGATTGAATATCTCATTATACTCTAATCAACTTCTTTTGAGACAAAAGTTAAACAAACTAACAAAAGGGTTTTTCTATAGGTCAAATTTTATAACCATAAAAAATTATAATTAAAAAAGTGACATTAAAGACCTAAAAATGTAGCTATTTCCAAACTTTGAATGTATTATAATGCTACCAAATTGAAGAGTAGTGATAAATCAAATAATTTACGTCGCAATGTGAAATTTTTTTTGCAATCAGTCTGGTTACACCAGCCATCTTTACTCTGGACAAAAAGCTTTGGTTTATTTTTTTTCCTTTTGGATCAAAGCAATTTGAATACAGTACAGGTAGAAGTATTTATATTAAAATGATGTCTGCTAGTAATTTAATGTAATATAATTTATTTAATAATATAATGTTTAATTTATTTAATGCAATTTTTATGACGTGGAACTTTATTAATTTTATTTATAAGTAAGATGTTTTTGATGTGATTGAAATTTATATTTATTCATAATAAATTAAACAAGGTCTTAAAACACATTGCTATGTCCTAACCAGGTTCGTGTAAAGATATCAATGAACGCTTTGTAACTCCTTTGTACACCTATATGAAAAGGCAATAAATATTATTATTATTATAACCATACTATCTAAGTAACAATAATTATAGAAAAAATCAAAGTGCAAGAGTTTCGTTTATAATTTTCCTGAAAAACACATTTTTGACACCCCAACCATTTGCGTTGTCTTAAAACTCACTACCAGGCGAATTCGCACTTTCGCTGCGAACTGGGCCTCCGAAAATGCTGAGTAAAATAATAAAAACGTTAAAATAGAGTTTCAGTCACGTCCCTTGGGACAGTTCCTCTCTGAGCTTGATTCAATATGGGATCTACTGAAGCCAACAAAAATGCTGTGTAAAATAGTGGAAGGGTTAAAATATCGTGTTTCACTCACGTCCATGCAGTTTTCACGGAAGAGGAGCTCGATGCGGCAGGTGGTTAGCGTATTCGGTTGCGATCGTGAAAGTTAAGCAACTTTCGCAATGGTCGGTCGTTGGATGGGTGACCAAAAACTTATTAATCTCGAGCTTATCCGTGCTTCGGAATGCGCGTTAAGCCGTTGGGCCAGTCTCTATCTGCAGTAGTAGCACCCACTAATAAACAGTGGGCCCGTGTGGTGGGCTATGGCTCAGTCTCTCTATTCCATCCATTCATCCAAGGCCTGTGCCCCTGCAGTGGGGACATTAATAGGCTGATGATAATAATGATGATTCATGTCCATAAGATGTCCCGCTGAGTGCTTGATGCAGTATGGGCTAGAGCCGATACTCAGTAGACTGAAGCCATCAACAATACTTGCAGGTGAATCCATAGATTGCTAAGAAGTTTGTCTCTCTTCTAATTTTTTTTTTTAAATATAGTGTTTCACTCACGTCAACACTTGCCTGGTAAAGTTTGCTGTGTTTTATGTATTTTGTGTAATAGTGTAATAAAGAATATTCATTCATTAATCCATCGAAATGTTCCTCTGTGAGCTCGATTTAGTATCGGGTCTTCTGAAGCCACCTAAAATGCTGTTTTAAATAATTTATACGTTAAAATAAGACTATTAATTCCATCTATTACATCCTTTGTGAACTCAATTTAGTATGGTATTCTAAAATGCTGTGTGAAATAATTTATAGGTTAAAATATTGGTTTCACTCACATCCATCGAGATTTTCCTCACTCAGTGAGCTGGATCTTGCTCAGCTGTGTTGTTACTATTTACCCCTTACCATTTAGGGCAGCCATAAACTCACGACACCAGAAAAATTCACAATTTCGCAGCAAACGAGATGTCTACTGGAGCCACCGAAAAAAAATACTGATCAATACTAAAATAGCACTCACGCCCATCGGGTTGTTCCTCTGTGAGCTCGATCCAGTATGGTATTTACTAAAACCACGTAAAATGCTGTGTGAAATAATTTATACGTCAATATATTGTGTTTCACTCACAAATCCATCCATTGGGTTATTCCTCAGTGAGCTCGATCCAGTATGGTCTTTAGTGAATCCACCTAAAATGCTGTGTGAAATAATTTATACGTAAAAATATCGTGTTTCACTCACGTCCATCGGGTTGTATCTCTGTGAGCTCGATCCAGTATGGTCTTTACTGAATCCACCTAAAATGCTGTGTGAAACAATTTATACGTCAAAATATTGTCTTTCAATCACGTCCATCAGGTTGTTCCTCAGTGAGCTCGATCCAGTATGGTCTTTACTGAAGCCACCTAAAATGCTGTGTGAAACAATTTATACGTCAAAATATTGTCTTTCACCCACGTCCATCGGGTTGTTCCTCAGTGAGCTCGATCTAGTATGTTCTTTCTATATATAACAATGTACTCTATGGTATGTTCTTTACTGAATCCACCTAAAATGCTGTGTGAAACAATTTATACGTCAAAATATTGTCTTTCACCCACGTCCATCGGGTTGTTCCTCAGTGAGCTCGATCCAGTATGTTCTTTACTGAATCCACCTAAAATGCAGTGTGAAATAATTTATACGTCAAAATATCGTGTTTCACTCACGTCCATCGGGCTGTTCCTCAGTGAGCTCGATCCAGTATGGTGTTTAATGAAGCCACCTAAAATGCTGTGTGAAATAATTTATACGTAAAAATATCGTGTTTCACTCACGTCCATCGGGTTGTATCTCTGTGAGCTCGATCCAGTATGGTCTTTACCGAATTCACCAATTTTTTTTTCTATAAATTGCTCCGACAAATGACTACCCCACCTGATGTTAAGTGACGGTGAAATCCTAGAACGCTGTGTGAAATAATTTATACGTCAAAATATCGTGTTTAACTCACGTCCATCTGGATGTTCCTCTGTGAGCTCAATCTTGCCGCCGCTCTGCTCGGCTTCGAGCGCCCGGTCCAGTATGGAGTTGGCGCGCGCTTGTTCAGCGGGTTTCAGTATCTGAGCGCCGCCAGACGCGCGTTGCAACGATAGCGTTGTTAGCACGCATTCCATGTCTATAAAAACGAAATAGGTATAAGTGTAATGCCAACACTTCATTTGTAAACTTAACAACGATGAGGAGGGACTTTTTGGCGGGATCGGAAAGCGTCTCTTTAGCAGTTTTGTTTTTCTTGTTAATAATTGTGTTGTGGCGGGTGTTAGTGTCTAATAATGGTGGATTATTAACCACTAAGTGTTCGGGAACATGCACAAGTGTTGGCAAGTGAAACAAAATAGCGGAAAGTGTCTTTCGACGTTCCTTCAAGAAGTCCACGGGGGGGTTCCAGTAAATCCCCACACATTTACTGAAACACAGAGAAAGGAAGATTGACTTGACTGCCACTTACTTTGACTTGATATAATACCCACGAGTGCTTTAGAATTTGTAAACATTTTTAACACTTGACATTGGCTAAATGCACAAGCCGTGCGAAACTATTGAGGAAAAAAAAACGACGAGGAGCTCGATGGTGCAGTTGCTTAACTTCAACGATCGCAGCTGAACGCGCTAACCATAGCGCGTACAGCTGCGATCGTTGAAGTTAAGCAACTTTCGCAGTGGTCAAAAATTTACTATCTCGAGCTCCTCCGTGCTTCGGAAGGCACGTTAAGCCATTGGTCGCGGCTGCATATGCAGTCGTTAGCACCCACCAATCCGCAGGACTGACCGATGTCGAGTTTACAAATAGTAAAGTAACACTAATAGCAAAGTGAAGTGCCACCATGATACAAACAAATACTTTAATCAATTTGACATTGTGGGTTACCTACAATGCGAAGAGATGGCGCTGCCTTGCAGCTTAAGGCTAGGAAAATTTCGACGCGGCTAATAGGGCCGTGGTAGCATAATGGTCAGTGCATTCGCCCGGATTGCGAAGGATGAGGGTTCGAGTCCCGTCCGCTGCCTTGTCCGCGTGAATTTTTTTTTCTAGTAAACTTTTCTTTAGATTTAAACATCTAGCAGTTAAATGCTCAAAAATAAATAAAATCATACTTTAATCAAATTCAGGAATATTGTAGGTATTAAATAAAGCAAAGATTCATCGGTTCAAATGCGTTATTTTTTTGATACTTGACGTTTCGCATCCTTTACAGGCTGCATCGTCAGAATTATTAAAATAAAATTAATTAATAGAGTAATAATAACAAAACTATAACCATCTCCAAAATAATACGTACAATATTTGTTTTTGAGGTTTCCACGCAAATAAACCATTTGAAGCTTTATTTTATTTAATGCATGATTAAATAAAATAAAGCTTCAAACATTTTATTTGCGTTAATTTATTTCCTCATCCTTTTCAGGCTGCATTGTCAAATTATGAAATTAAAATTAATATAAATGATTGTTAATTCTGACGACGCCTGAAAAAAATATAATATCTGCTTAATCGTAATGTAATGCATGCCGAGTTCGCCTTTAAGTGGTTACGCATTATATCGCTGAATGTAAAACTGTACTAAATGGGATGTATTGATGTAGTAACTATTGGTGATCCAATAAAGAGAGAAAAAAACGAGCGAACCTTACAGTAGTCGCGTATGATGTGTAACATTTGAAACCTCACCTTATATTAGTAAAATAAAATCTACTACAAAAGGAATAAGCCATTTGAACATTATGTTCTAAAATTATATCAAATAACGAGCGTTTTCGCGACTTCTTGTTACACACTTCCGTCCTATTTCACGAAATCACTCCTACAAATTGCAGTAAAGCGAGAGGAAAGATGTTTCACAGCAAAAAAAATACTCTACCTCTTAAATCATAATCTCAGTTTATTTTGTAATGAGTCAGAAATTTGTACTGCATATTTTTTTGTTATTGTATTATTTTATATAACTGAAAACAATTACTTAATAAAATTTTGATGAAAGCAAGCAAATCCACTTAACACAAGTTCTCTATAAACTTAAAAGGTTTGGTCCAAAACTTTGTGAAAAGGTGATTGAGTTATTAAAATAAAATAAAAATGTATCCTAACAAAATCTTCACAGAATGGGTGTTTATAACATCCTTAAAATCAAACGAGCTTAAAAACAAGTTAGATTTTTTTGTTCAATCTACATCTACTTCGGGTGTTTTGTAAGTTAAATTTCGAACATATTGGTTTGAAAGTTGCTCTTTGATCTTTTTCCAGAACATATTAAAAAAAACTTTGAATAAACATAAGTGAGGCATACCCGTGACATCATAGAAGTCTGGCTTGTAGGTTTCCCCAGAGGGGTCCGACTTGTCCTGTGATAGCCAACGGATTTTGATCTTGCGCGTAGTACGGTATACGTTCTGCATCGCTTGACAAACGTAAAACCCACCCTCGGCGTTCCGTACCGCCAAATATTCGTTCCTAAGAAGAAAAACATATTGATCAAAATTTATCTGGTTAGTAAACACTCTCCTATCTTGTACTCCAATAAGATCTTGGGTTCGAAACCCAATAGTTGCAATTATTAGTAATGTCCATTTCTGTGCTCATTTCATTAGATAGGTTTCAGAAAACAATTGGACAGCTGATTAAATGGGATGTTGTGTATAAAAAAATACATCTGAATTAAAGACGTAATTTTAAGATATTGATAAAGTACTAACTTTAACTGTTATATGAAAAAAAATATTATATTAGGCATTATAATTATGTATTTTAAAAAAGTATAAAAAACTATATTTTTTTTATATCAAGTTATATAGTTTTTTTTAAACAAACACAAGGGCGTGGCCAAGGGGGGGGGGGGGGTGCAGGATCAAATGTCCCCCTCCCCTTAGTAATAAGCTGGCGACGCCCTTGAACAACATATAATGTTCGTTGTCGAACAATATCTGGTATGTGCACAAAAGACAACATTGACAATATTCTTGCTGATCCACATAGCACATTGTTAGAAACTTCTCTTCCCCTTTACAATGCTAAGATTCGCATAGCAGTCTGTATTTGAAAATTCGGTTAGTATAATGATAAAGGGTGTATTCCGCAATATATACCAGTATACTGGCCAGTGATATTGACGTCACGAATCCGACGCCATATTGTACTGGTATGCTACCATATTTTTACCGGGAAAACGAATATGACGTATGACCGAACGTGCGTGAGATGCATTCGAATTTAATTTCTTTTTTATTTAAAGAACATTAACATTAATGGCATCCGAACAAAAAGAATTCCTTTTAATTGATGAGGTGAATAAAAAGTCTTCTTTATTCGCATTATTTTTAATATTTTGTCGATTTATGACGTCAGTGCACTGGCCAGTATATTTCGGAACAATTCACCAGTATAGCGTCGATTCATGACGTCATTAGCACTGGCCAGTATACTGGTATATATTACGGAATACACCCAAAATTTGTCACCATGATGAAAATGTTAAAATCACCAAAATGCGTACATAGCTGATATTGGTTTGATAACGATGTTATGGCTCGCCTGATGGTGAGCAGCACCATAGACGCAGACCTCTCCTACCCCGTGGAAACCTGGAACCTAACTCATGGACAGAAACAACACCACCAAAAGATAATGTTATTTTAATGTGGTCTTCTATAAGATGAAGGTACTTCCCCTGACGGGTGCTCCAATTCAAGCGGGAAATCCGATATGCCATACCTCTCACATTCAAATCAAATTGTTAGATTTTAGTCGTTCATAATTTCAAAACAAAGGGAATTTGGAGAAATTTCTCTTTAAAAATGAATCTATAACAATGTAATATATCTATACTTACTTGATTTAATTTCGTCAGCGCTCCTATTGTTTTGTACACCTTGTATATTATATTTAATTTCTATAGTGAATACTGTTAGTTAGTGACCATTGACGTATAAAAACGAATAGACTCCCAATTGCCTAACAAAACTGCATCTAAAAACGTCCAAGCCGCGCCGTGTCATACATACACATCAACTTATACGTAAATGTTACGCATTTGTTCAAATGAACACGTTATGTCGTGGCAGTAAGGTTCAATGTAAATGGTATACGATTACGGTGCGAGAGACATGAACGATCACGTGACAGGGTGCACACGGGGAGAAATATTTTGTTATAATTTAATAAATGTAATTATAATGCGATTCTAATAAGAATAGGAAAGCCAATGACCTCTATCTGTCAAATGTCGCTTGAAAAATACGGTTTGCAAAAAAAACTTGGAACCCTTTTTTAGCACTCCGCTAATTCAAGAATAAAAACCAAACATTTCTAAACAAATATTGATAATTAATATCGGTTGATATTTTTTTCACATATTGAGCTTTGGGCATGAATGGTTGATAACCTAAATCGTCAACCAAATGTCACTTTAAGTTGCGTTCAGAAACTCGATTTCAAACTTTCGTTTACATAAAGGATGCATGTTCGTATGTGACCTAGTAATAGTGCATGATTATTCATAACTACTCCGGCGGTAATGCAGAGATGAGCGGAATAGAAGAGCTAGATTCTGATTAATGTTTATTATCAGTCTTAATAAATAAATATTATTAAAAATCGGTGTTTTTTTTTCTCAATCTTAGTAAATAAATGATATTAAAAAAATCTGATGCTTTTTCTCACTTAATCTTAGTTAATAAGTTTTATTAAATAAAAACTTTTTTTTTTGCGCACTCTACCTATTTGGTTTGAATTGACAGCTACGACATCACAATACAGCGCCCAGTCGATCCTATTCTTAGTTGAATCGCATTATAGAAACAAGATAGAAAACGCCAATAAATTTGCGTATTTTTTTTAGTTTAGGGACAATTCGACACACTATGTTTTTAAGTGTGTCATTTACACAGTTTTTAACTGTACAATGTCATTGCGTGGCGTTGTATTCAAAGCACGTTGGAAACAAGACTGTTTAAAAATTACGCACAATAGACGCGAGTGCGTACTTTTGCTTCCGACACGTTTTGAGGGCAATTGAGAGTCTACTTGTTTATATACTTTAATGTTATAGTTTGACGGCTGTAAAGTCCTCCATAAGTGGCGGCGGTTGGGCAGGGGTACACACGGCATGACCGACGCAGCGATATATCTCATGATGTTTAAATCTTTGTGTTGTTATTTCAAAAGTGTATGTATTATTATTACGCACGTATTAGTGTAATAATTTATTACTCATAAATGATAGACATTAGACTTTGACTTTGTAATATGTGCCTACATTTAATTCTATGTAACACCTAGTTTTGCCATAAATATTGTTACAAGGAAAAATGTATTTAAATGTAAAATAATACATTTATTTAATTCACCACATTGAATAGCATAATCTTTACTAGACTTCTTGAATTTTTATTACATAGACTCAGTTATTCCATGTTTGTTGTATGCAAAGTTACTTTATACTAAATTGATCTCATGTGTAGCAGATACAAGGCTGCAACCGCAACAGGGGGCCATTCGCATAACGCAAATGCTTAGGATAACGCTAACGCTTTCGATTTTATTTTGTTATTTCTGACCGCAAAAGATTTTCAAATATCTCACGCTATTTTTTTAATATTGTTATTACTAGACTTGCAACGAAAATTCGGTTACTATTCGGTATTCGGCTGCTTTTATTATATTCGGCCGAATACCGAATACTTAAATAATATATTTTCATAGAGAAATAATTAGTAAAGTAAAAAATTAAAATCGATTGATTACGTATATATTCATATTTTCATTACTGTTATATAATCATTTAAATAATCATTGGTACATAACACGGGTACATAATCATCTTCTGAATTGGAAAAATGGAGGATTCCGTATTTGAATTATTGTGGTACCTAATAAAAATTTATAAGAGTAAGGTTCTCATTTCTATTATAATCATTTATTAAGTAGTCATTTGTACATAAAACAGGTAGATAATTTAATCATTTTCTATATTTAACAAGTTAACAGTTTTAATTAATTCAGTCATGTGATTGAATGGTTACTTATTAGCAATAATTTGCCATATCTTAAAAGTTGGTTTTGTCATCATTGGAGGACGGCAGATTAGAACAAAACAAAGGAGCGCGAAACAAGTTTTTGGCGCTAAAATCCAGCCGAATACTTTTGCCTAATATTCGGCTATTCGGTCAGGGGCCTCGTCGAATATTCGGTATACTGCCGAATATACTATTCGTTGCAAGTCTAGTTAATACTCAAAAGAAACAAAAAAAGAGCGCGAGGCATTTGAAAACCTCAGGCGCCTAGAAGTAACAAAATAAAATCGTAAGCGTTAGCGTTTTCCAAAGCATTTCCGTTAGGCGAATGGCCACCAGCTCCGACCTTAAAGTCTATCGCTGTCGGCAGTCACCAGGCTACTGATTGATAGGTCGAGCGCATCCCGCGGACCATTGAGAGGGTCGACTTTCCAGCAGTCAAGCTATGGGGACTTATTTTACTTATTACTCTAAAAAAAAATTTGTGTTTTCTGTCTAATGATAAAAATGAAAAATGAATAATAATAGAAAGAAATAATATATGCACAGACAGTCTAACAACTAATTATCACAAACTGTATTTTTTTTCCAATAGATTATGAATATCATATTATTCACACAATAAAGCTCAAAGTAAGCTGGTGATTTGACAGTTTTGTGTAAGTTGATGATCTGTGGCATGGCATTAAGATGAAGGATGAAGTGGATTCAAAGAATCTTTATTTGTTAAGACTGTGTATAGTATATTATAGTGTCATTGTTAGACACATTTTAATGAGCATGAGCTACCATATCACTTTACGCATTAATTTGAACTGTTGATAGCCTATTCCAGGGGTGCTCAAACGGTCGATCCACCTTCGTATATGCTACGGTACACCCTACCTAGGTAGGTAGGTAGCTAGGTGGGGTGTATCGTGTATGTACAACAACCCTGCATCACACATACGTGCAGCCTCTCAGAGTCGATCATAGGTAGTCTAAAATTTTTGAGGTAGATCACCAGCAGTTCAGGTTTGAGCACCCCTGGCCTATTCTATAGGTAGACTGTATAACTGAGTTCTCGCCTGTGGGGTAAAGAGTGTGGACGAAAACAGGGACCTTGACAGGTGCAGGCGGCAGGCAAATTCTTATCAGAATGACAAGTGCCCACAGGCGAGGTTTCAGTTAAGCTGTTTACCGATAAACAATTATTCTGAATAAAATGAATATCTCATATTTCTTATGATTATATAATACTCATACATATCTTTGTTTTCTATATCATGCCTATTGTATAACTAAAGCAACACACAAAATTAAGAGTTATAACAGTATTGAACTTACTTGTAAAACACAATAAGCTTGTCATCACTTTGCTTAGTGGGAGTGGAACGACCAGCTGACGCACTAAGTTTAGTGGCCATTGTTATCTCTGGTGTTGGAGACTGGTAAAGTTGTACCTGTAAACAAGTTAACAGTGTCACTGACTCTTTTCTGTCCAAATAAATAAAATTTTATTCTTAACTTTCTAGATGAAAAAAAATCTGCAGTTACTAATAGATTGTCTATTAGAAAAATTCTAAAACTACTTTAAAAAAAAACTTTTCTTATGTGAAAAAGTGATGCAAATTTCAGCTCTATGTAGCTGTAAAATTTTGTCCCAATCCTAAATTATATGCAACTTTTTATAAATTATCAGTGGTTTTGTTTACTAACAACACCTTCAATTTACTTACTACTACTTATTTCAGAATAAGAAGAATTTACTGATACACACCTGAGTCCTGTTCCTTTTTGTCCTCATGTCAGGGGTTGAATCACCCTCTACAGGCTTCTTTGTAGAACTTGGTCCTTCAGTACTCTTTGGTGGGGATGTCCTCCTCCTCTTTCTCATTGGTGGAGTCACTGTTGCCAATTTCATAGTTGGTTTTGGAGAAGCTTTAACCTCTGCCACCACAGGAGCTTTCACTTCAGGCTTTTTTTCTTCAACTTTCTCTTCCACTTTCAATGGTTTTTCAGTTACTTCGTTCTTAGCAGGTTGTGCAGCATCCTCTTTTTTCTCTTGAACTGGCTGTGGCTTCTCTTCTTTAGCTTCCTCTTTCTTCTCCTCTGCCTTCACAGGATTCTCAGTTTTAGCACTCTCTGCTGCAGGAGCTTCTACCTTTGCTGGTGTTGGAGGTGTAGGAGCAACTTCTTGTAATTGACTGTCTTTAGCAGATTCTGGAAGTGGCTTACTATCACTTTGTGTTGGTGCTGTGTCTGCAGTTGGAGTCGGTTTTGGTTCTGTTGGCTTAGCAGGCTTCTCTGTTTGTTCATTAGCTGTGGCAACTTTAGGTTGAACTTGGTTGTCTGGGGGCCCAGGAGGGTTAGCAACCTCAGATTTCTGGGGGGTTGTGGGTGCACTGCTAGGCTTTTCAGGAGGTTTTGGAGTACTCGGTGATGTCTTAGCAATATCCTGCTTCTCTTTATTGGGTTCAAGGTTTTGAGGTTTTAACACTGTAGGTGCGTTGGATGCAGATTTGGGTGAATCAACAGTTCCATTAGCTTGACCGGTAGAGTCAGGCTCCTTCTTTTCAGGGGTTCTCGTAAGCGCCAGGGGTTGAGAAGTATTCGCTTTGTCCTGACTGACCAAGCTGAGTGGTGCACTGGTGCTCGCGCTCTTACTAGGGCTCGCAGCGACGTTGGCCGGCGTGACAGAATTCTGTGTAACATGAGAAAGGTTTCCATGGTGACTCATGTTTTGCGCCATTTGTGCCATGTTGGCGGAGACAGGGGCCATAGACGGCACTGCGTGAGGCGCTACCTGAGGCGCGGGGACGTGATGCGTGAGGTTTTGACCGACAAGATTGTTGGTCCCGTGGTGGAGCGAGTTCTGGGCGCCCTGCGGGTGCCCCACGGCGTGGTTGATGTTCGCCACGTTGGCCTTCGCGGGGCTCGCCTGCCCGCCCGGCTGCGGTCCCGCCTGCGGCAGCACCGGCTTCAAAGCGGAATTCATCTTGGACGCGCCTAACGCCACCCAAGCACGGATACAAAAACTGCAAAACACAAATAGACGCCTTTATTTAAATGTTGTTTTGGCTTTTAAGTCCGTTAACACACTGAGATGTCTTTGACCCACAACAATAATTTATACATATTGAATGTATAGATAGGCATTGAGCGTTAGAACGCGGGGTCAACTCTGTCCGTTTTATGATCGCTTTGATACTTAATTATTGCTAAACAAACCTACAAAAACACAGCGAAGGAAAGTTACCACTATGCTTCGATCGACGTCAAATAGTCCATCAAATATTTCCGTGAGGCGACCGCGGCAGAGATAGCCACAAAAAATATGCGATGCTCTAGACCAAGAAACTTCCGCAAAGCAATAATGGACGTTACAGAATTCCAATGATGTCACTTTTATGCACACATTTGACTTTACTAACGGCAGCGTAATTCCATGATTTATTCACACAAATCTACAAATTAAAATTCACTTCACTCCTACAAGTACATAGAACCAGTAGCAGAGATGGCGTCGGCAGAACGCGCATGCGCCACCCTCTACGATTTCCCTCCAATCAAAGCGAACAATGAAATGAAATAAAGTAATGGCGGATTTTTCCGAACGTGCTCTCTGTTTTTCATACTAAAAGTCGGCATAGTGCTATCTCATTCTAAAATTTGCTGCGTTCAATTCTAATAAAATCCAATGGTACACAAACCTATTAGGACACAATTATTTTTCTTTGCTCAGAGCATAAAATGCCTGTTAACATCAAAAGTGAAAGAATATTATATGAGATATGTTTTTATACAATACAAAAGTTGTAATGCATGACATTTATGAAAAACATGCCTGGGCTGCGTTCAGTACTAGAAAATGCAAATTTGATTCAGATCATGTTAAAATATAAAACACTGTCTGGAGGTGATGAACCGAATAAACGACTTTAATGCTATTAGTTTGTCGTTTTAATACTATGGTGTCAATTCTGGCATGATTGTCTAAACTTAAAACTAAATTTAACATCATTCTGTCCTCTTCATTCTGTATAGAAAATGAGAAGGATACACTATTGTCAAATTTAAGTTTAGGTTTAGAGAATCATGCCAGAATCGATACCTATGTCACAATTCTGTCAAAGCGCGGGATTTTTTGAAAAGTAATGCCTGCTTTCTAGCGCGTTATTATCGGATAAGTTATTTTAGTACAATATATTGTATTAGAAATTTGGGCGCTATGAGGTTACATACTGCTGACATAGAAGTCGAACGCTTGCGTTTCTCCTTCCTACATTAGGGATCGTGCAGCGTGCCAGCGATGTCCGGTGTCCTTAGGTCGCTTGTTACTTGCGACTGCGTAGCGTCATGCTATTATGGTAACAATATTGTTTTTATTCATATTAATTTATGGATACAGATAGATTAATACAAGCAATAGCAACCGCTGCCAAAAAACGTAATGATAGGTGATGAATGGTGTCAATTCTGACATGATTCTCGCCAGAAGCACATCGGTTTCATTGATTTACTATGGGTAGAGACATATTTACGTATAGTGTCGTGTCGACGTTCTAACCCCTCTCTCTCTAAACCATAATAAATGTATGAAACCGATAAGCTTCTAGCGCGTCATAACACGACACGGTAATATGTTTCTGGCTTTAGAGGTCAAATAGGGTCATGCATGGCCACGTTCAGTACCTACGCTCCACGTGCAACCTATGCCAATTTTGATAAGATTATCAAGGTCATCCATACATTTTTTAAACGTCAGGGTAAAAAGTTGCACTCTGAATGTAGATTTAGAACGCAGCCCAACAATAAAGGCAGAAACATATAAACGTGTCGTGATGCGCCAGAAGCACATCGGTTTCAAAGATTTATACGTTATTAAATCACGCAAAAACAGATTTTGGTAGGTATACATTTAGTTTATTACCTGGATTGAGTATATTATTACATAGGAAACTTTTTATCCCAGAATAGTTGGCAACATAGATAATAAAAAAACGGATTCTTGGGCTCTGTCTTTTGCTTACAGTATGCTATGATAGTGGTTTCCTACTAATATACAGATTTCATAAAAATCCAATACCCATTACTTTCATTGGTGAAACCATTGCAACACTTATTAGGTGTCTCATTCCATTGCGACACATCAGAAGCAAGATGTACCTACATTTTATATAAAAGGGCAGGAGCAGTATATTAATTGTTCACATATTCATGGACAAAAGACACTTGGCAGCTGCATTTATGTAAAGTCTAGCATATTTAATCTTGGGTGGACTAGATATCAAGAAGATTTTAACCATCCTGCAACATTTTTAGAGAATGCAATCAAAGGTTTTAATTCAAACTTTACAAATAAAAATAATCAAACATTATTTATAGATTTTTTTATCATACCCCATTCACAAGGACATTGCAAATAAATACTAAGTTTTGAGAATATTGCAAATTGGAATGATGAATTCAACACTTTTATACTTTTACAGCGCATTAAAACATATCATCATGCCCCATATCAGCCAATAAGTTTAGACCTCTTTCTTTCAAAGCTTTTGAGAGAAGTTTCTGTTGTTCTATCTTTGCGTCTTGTTCTCTTCTCTGAGCATCCAATATATCATCTACTGATACTTCTGTTAGTGGTAAGTTATCTTCTTTGTCCTTATCCTGAAATGTGAAATAAAAGATGGGTTAAAGATGTATAAAACAGGTAATCTTATTATGTATCCACTCAAATGGAATATAAGGTACTGATAAGTACTACAATGCCTTTACTTATTGGATAAAAATATTCATAATTACTACCTTTACTATTTTCAATATTGGTTAAACATCAACATTTAATTATAGAACTTAGGAAAGTAATGGATGGGAGACTAACCAAGAATATTTCCTGCAAAATTATACTCACAATTTCTCCTAGAAGTACAACATTTTCGCCTCGTACAATAAAAATACCTCTTGGGATATCCCCATACTCCTTTCCTACATGAATCCGTTCGATTGTCTTATGCAATACTAGGTTGGCGAATTGGTCGACACATCTTAAATATCCAATTAGGGTTCTTCCATCGCGTAGCAGTACCATAAGTTTCTCTTTATGAAACAATAACAATAAAGTAGAAAAGTATGGTATACAAAAAAAACATTTAAATGAAATCAAACCTACTGTCCAATTCATCCAGTAGATGAGCTGTGCCCGCCAATGGATTTATGTTGTTTGACATGTTAAGCAAATTCTGTTACTTTAATTCCGTACTAATAGTATTTTTTACATTAAAATCGTGATTACAAATATTTGAATAAATTTAGATGTCAGATTGTGGCTGGGAACATCTGTCAAACATTTTTTTTACGATTCTCCCTTTTAAGGCAAGGCAACGGAAACAATGCCCATACAGACTAATATTGAGTTAAATTAATCTTCTTATCTTTACATGTGAATGCATTCTAATGTTTTTTGGAGTATTTGGCACGAAATGTATCGAGTTGGCTTTTTCTGTGAGGTTGTCAACGCTACAATAAAGGTCATGGTAGGCACAAACGAAATAAAGGAGAGTGTATTGATATATGGCTTTGATTTACTATAGCATTAGTAAGTGGCGTAACTAGGTCACTAAGGATCCAGGGGCAAATTAAAAAATCGGGCCCCACTGCTATGTAAATTGATTAGGTTTATCAAATAAAAATATGAAATAAACAAATACTTTAAAAATGTTAAGCTACTTAAGCTCTTTTTTGTGCACTGCAAGGCAGGTAATAAAAATATTAAACAGTAACAAGCAACATAAAATTAATACATAAATTATAATTAATACTTGGTATAGCTTTGACTAAAAAAACGAAATAGAGAAGATTCAAGGGTTTATTATATAAAGGTCGGACCTACCAACTGACTAAATAACAATTATATTTACAATTTTTTCCTAGCTTTAGTTTTCGCAAAAGTATCCATGACTTCGTTTAAATCCAGGCTAAATGCGGTTTTGTTTTCAATTGCTATTTAGCAATAAACAAAAAACTACTCTACAATTTTTTTCCGTAAAGTCAATAATTTAGGAAATATATTAAACTCAGTAAACTTAAACAAATGAGATGCATTTCTGGAGCAAAAAAGTAAATATATTTTTAATATTTTACTTTGCTCCACTCAGGATTCCTATCTAGAATCCTTCGTTGCTACAGTAGGGATCCATCTTAGCACCCCAAATCTGGAAGATCGGGAGAATCATGTCATTGAACTCAATCAGGCTTTGGACAACATTTCCGAATAGGGTACCAGGAACTTGGTTGAGTTCAATGCCAAGAAAACTCAGGTTTGCGCTTTCACGGCAAAAACGTCGCCATTCCTTCCCCTGCCGTCTCTTCAGGGCACAACACTTCCGCTACAGAGCAACATTTCCATGCTCCAAAGGAATCCAAAGGACTACATCGAAACCGTGATCAAGACAGCTTCACGCAACCTCGGAGTCCTGAACAAGATGCGGCGTTTTTTCACGCCCGATCAACTGTGCTTGTTGTACAAAACGCAAGTGCGGTCCTGCGTGGAATATTGCTGGCACCTCTGGGATGGCTCCGCCAAGTACTGGCTTTGGATAGGTTACAGCGGCGCGCGATCCGAATCATAGGCGATGAGGAGGTGATTAAACACCTTTAGCCTCTTCCGTGGCGTCACTAAACGCGTTCTATCGTCTGTACCACGGCGAGTGTTCTGAGGAGTTATTCTCTCTTATCCCACCTTCCCCTTTCCTTCAGAGGACCACGCACGCTGGCCTACGTTGTCACCGTCTTACTGTGGCCACAATTCCAAAGCGTACAAAGAAATTTGATGACTCATTTCTTTGTCGCACTATCCGTAAATGGAATGCTCTGCCCGCTCACGTGTTCCCTCCCTCTTACAACCTGGGATCCTTTAAAAGAGGCGTGAAGAAGCAACATGCAGACCGGCAGGGTGAGGATGGTGTGGCAGGTAGAACTGCTGTATCAGCTATCTTCGCGTCTGGACTTCACCTTCACTTAACATCAGGTGGGGTGGAGTCATTTGTCGGACCTATCTATAAAAATAAAAAAACTTTTATATTTGCACTTAAAGTATCTCTTATCTATTAGACAAGTCCGTCCGTCTGTCTGTGGTGCTGTTTCAGCGGCCAAACCGTAAGAGATAGATAAAGAGAATATTTAAGTTATAAGTTAAGAATAGTCTGATAAGACTACAAACCGGATTTGAGTAACGTAGCACTTCCGGTTTTCGAGAAATCGCGTGATTTCTATTTCAAACGAAACCACACAAAATCTCCGAATTTCTCGATTAATTAAAATCATTTTTTAAATCAGGTTTTGGTGAACATTTGGTTCACTGGTTTGCTAGTCTCTTATCTATTAGACAAGTCCGACTGTCTGTGGTGCTGTTTCAGCGGCCAAACCGTAAGAGATAGATAAAGAGAATATTTAAGTTATAAGTTAAGAATAGTCTGATAAGACTACAAACCGGATTTGAGTAACGTAGCACTTCCGGTTTTCGAGAAATCAGGTTTTGGTGAACATTTGGTTCACTGGTTTGCTAGTAATCCACTAATTTGCAATTAGTCTTTAAATTGCATATTAAAGTATCAATTTGGTAAAGTGCACTATACTGAACATCGCTGCGTCGATGTCTCGCTCGTACGACTCTCACAGACTCGTGGACGTATTTACCTAAACTGCAGCGGCGCAATTCTGTAAAAGGGCTCGTAAGGTTTGGTCATTGGTGTCGATTCTGGCGTGATTCCCTAAACTTAAAACTAAATTTATAATATTTCTGTCCTTTTCATTCTGTATAGAGAATGACAAGGCTACACTGTTTTCAAATTTAAGTTTATTTTTAGAGAATCATGCTAGAATCGACAACATTGTCGGTTTAATTTCCATCTCTTTCGGTTGAAAATGGTTAATAATTTGTTTCTTAGGTTTCACGCACATCACTCATTAAATAAAATACATTTTTCACAGGTTAATGCAAGAAACTTTATTTATTTATTGACGTTTCGCAGCCTTTACAGGCTGCGTCGTCGGAATGCGAAACGTCAATAAATAAATAAACTTTCGTGCATTAACCCGTGCAAAACTAGTTTGATTTAATGGTTAATAATGCTCAATGTACTCATTGCAATTCCCAAGAAGAAACCTTACCTCACATTTTCTTTAACTGCCCATCCTTCGGCATTCAGCGCTTTGTGTTGTTGGATGAGCTAATTGAAATTTATGGATAACATGATTTGGTCCCGCGTTCCTTGACTAATCTTCTTGTAAATAGTTGTACAACGGATATACAATTTCATTGAAATCTCTCCTCTGTATAATTTCATTGAAAACACTGTTGAAGAAATACACAGTAAGTACAGTAGCAAGTTAACTTACGCTCTTGGCGAGTTAAGGTCTTATTACCGCTTAAATAGGGATTTGCCAGTATAAATATTCTGTAAATATTTTTATGTAAGTATATGTATTAGGTGTTAAGGTTAAATGTACATACACCCAGGAGTTAAGGTTGTCTTCATTTCATTTTGTTATAAAATGCTCAGTTAAGATTGATACCGCATATTCTCTTTCTTTTATTTGTTTAAAATAATAGTTTAAATTCGTAATTTTTCTCGTAGGTATTATTTTTTGTTTAGTCAAGTCAGTTTGAAACTCAATGTCGTTTTTTTTTGTATTTGTTTTTTCTATTCATTTGTTTTGTATTAGGAGATTGCATGGTATTGGTCAATGTTAATTTAATTAATAAATATGAAATTAATTCATGACTGGACTGAGATATATTGTTTGGTGATTAAGAAAAAAACACATAATAATAGAGTAAAAAATAACTAGAAAATCGAAAGAATAAAAAAAACGAATTTTATCCAACTGAAGAAGATAAATTGAACTTTAATGATAAAAAGGAGAAAAATCACTATGACGAGGCAGAATGGTACCAGACCTTAGCCTGTCCGCAAGGACAAACAAAAAAAAAATCCTCAGAATCCTTTGCCCGTCCCAGCAGGGACAAATTAACCAAAAAAAAAAAACAAAAAAAATCATTCCATTCCAATGTCATTTTTCTTGCTGATTTTAATAATTTTGCTTGTTGTATTGCCTACCTACCATAAAGGTTAATCGAAATAATATTGTGATATGTTTGACAGCATTGTTTGTATACATCGAAGTTCTAAAAACCACGTGAAACCTTTAATGTAAAATGGAAATAGACGACGAGATTAAATCCGGTTCTTTATTATTCCCACCCGCTGGGGGAAACGTTTTCAGTAAATTTCCTAAAAAGGTAAGAGAAATTTCATTTTGCAAGGTAATTAAGTAACCTACATTACCAATTTACTCTTGATGCAGTCTACAAATCCAGAACTTTGTAGACAGTTTATGCTGTTGTTTTATGTTCTGAATGACTCAGTGAGTGCAGTTAAACGTTTATAGCTTGTACGACAATCAGATAACAGAAAAACAAGTTATTGATACTGTAACTGTTACATACCTTTATAATTAATACTCAATATCTTCCTATTTCAAGAAAATAAATAGTAGTTTTGCAGTTTGAAATAACTTTTACTTTAAAACTATCAAACTACCTGGTACAAGTAATTAGGGAAACATCTGTATAAATTATGTTTTTTATATCAAACTGTACATTAGAATTAAAATATGTTACAGAAAAATTGGCAGCAGAAGTATTGCATCCTATACAATGCAAGCAAACAAGGAATCGAGAGACTTGAGATATTTGAACACAAAGATGACGCCACTTCAGCTTCTTCTGCCATTCCTAAAATTCTTACCCTTGAGAATTGTATAAAAATTACACATTCTAGTCCAAATACTATAACAATACTTACTAAGTCACACACTCAACAATTAAGCGCTCAATCTGAAGCTGAAACTCTTGAATGGGTTAATGCTCTTCAATCTGTAGCATTCAAAGGCAAGGATTCCAATCCTATAAGCTGCGATGAAGACAATGACCTTTATTGTTCATCAGGAGAAGGTGTGTTTTCTGTTAAAATGTGTGCTTCTGAAGCTTCTACTAAGTGTGGATTTGAGCTAACAAGATACTTACTAGTACTGACAACTACAGCAATAGAGCTCAGAGATGTCAATGATAACAAACTGTATGCTACTTGGCCTTACAGATATATCAGAAGATATGGGTACAGACAGGGTAAGTTTACTTTTGAAGCAGGAAGAAAATGTGATACAGGAGAAGGTATTTTTCATTTGGAACACCCAAATCAATCAGAAATTTTCAAATGTTTGTCTTTAAAAATGAGGACTATGAAACAGATGATTGGAAATGATAACTTGAATAGTCCTGAACACAGTGAGTTTAACATACAGTCCAGTGCGAACCTATTTCCAGGCTCGAGAAGTCCTTTAGTGGCAGCAAGGCCAGATGATTTGAATTTAAGTTCTCTGTCATTCAAAACAACATCCGTTTCAAGTCAACAAAGTTCATGCTCAGATAGGGATAACGCTCCCTTACTTATGCCTAAACCAACACTTAAACCTAAACCACAAAAACCTCCTCGTAAAATGATTAATGTTCACAAGGGAGTCAGTAAAGACTTGCCAAGTTCAACAGAAGAGAGTGTTGATTTTGGCAGATATAAAAAGCTTGATAATTATGAGCCCATAGATCAAATCAAGAAGGAAGGCAGTCCACCTTCAGTGCCATATGACAAAGTGGAAGTGCGTAGTGAAGCTTGGAAAACTTTAGGAATAGATGATCCTGATCACACAGAATTTACTCCTAATTTAGGTGATAATCCTAACTGTATTAAATTGATATCTAGATCACAAGATAATTTAAATATAAGTGGACCTGAATCTTCTAGAATTATATTACTACCAAGTCCAGTAGTTGATCCAGAAGATGAAAATTATGATAGGTTACAATATTTTGGATCAACAAGCAAATTGAATAAATCTTCACGTTATAAAAAGATTGAAGCTCGCCCAACTACTCTTGCTTTGGGTGAACCAAAAAACAAAGATACATGGAATGATTATGATGAAGTAGAGAATGTGATGCAAACAGCTCGATTAGCTGATGATTCTCATTTGGGATATGGAATGATACGAAAACCAAATACCCCAGGACCACAGGTTCCTACAGCAGCTCAAACTCAAGTTTTACAAAATCAGGTTGGTTTGGAAGAAGTTAATCACAGCAACTGCAATGGTACTGATTATGCTATAGTGAGTCGTCCAAAAAGAGTATAATGTATGTTTCCCAAGGAATATAAAACAAGACTGAATGGAAGCAATAATGAAAATTGAAACTTTTTGTCAAGTCAAGAGTCTAATTGGACGTTGTTAAATGAAAAGGACCTTAAGGAGTACTTTGGTGTACTAAACAATTTTTCGATAAGGTTGTGGGTTGGATCCTTTTCATTTAACAACATCCAATTTGCTCTCAGGAAAGAATATGTTCATATACCATAAGATAAGTACTTTGTTGAACTCCATATAGTTTAAGAACTTATTAAGTTGAAAGTATAATATTTCAGACCATAATATTTTTTGTGAGACTGCAATTCATTCCCATTTACATTTTATTATATTTAAGGTTTCTAGTTACATCAAATTTGTATATTGACGCACAAGTATTTTATTCATAAGTGATGAACCATAATCTTTAACATTGTAATATGTGATTATATTGTGCCTTATTTTATAGGTAATTTTAAAGTTTACCATGCACCCTGTGCCAATTTATAATATTGTAGGAGCAATGGTGCTCATTAAATATATAATTTAAGTCATTATTATACATTACATCTTAGTGGTGTTTTCAGTTGCTCAATTGAAAGATCATTTTAAATAACAAAACATGAAAACTGTTGTATCATCATTTTGCTCATTAGATTATAAAAAAAATATTGCAACATAAAAAATAATCACCTTGTTAAAATGCTACAGTCATATAATGTTAGTTATACTTAATTATATATTTTAGAGATATTCTTACAATTGAAGTATTTTAGTATAATGAATACAGCCATATTTTTAAATTGAATTTTACATCTGCATAATCTCTACATAAGATCATATTATTGCCAATAAATTGTGTAATCTCATTTCTTTTGTTTTATTGTGTTAAATACTGGTGTTATTTTTTTCTATCAGTAGGTTAAAGCTGCACTGGAAAATAATTACTTGATTTTTACAGGTGTGTAATAAAACATGTATATTTCTACATATTTATTGTAATTGCATCATTCCATTCTATAGAACCAAAGAACAGAAGATTATTATACTTTAGATTTTTTTACTTTACAAAATAAAAATTACCTTAGTCTTTTAATAAATTTGTACTGTCCATTTCTTCACTAGCACTTCTGGCCATTTCGTTAGCTATAAATTCAAGATCTTCAGACATAATTTTGTGAACAGTTTCACCTTTCTCTTTCATAATATCTTCAATGTTTTTCTTTCCATTCATGTCACTGAACCAGTTGAGGTTATCAGCAATTAAATGTTTGTTTTGACAGCCATCACATATTACAATTACTACACCTTTATAATATGCTAACTTTGTAATATATTTCGAGTTTCTGGTGTTGCACTTTTTACATGTAAACATTAATTGGAATTTTCCTTCTAACTTCTTCGTTGGTTCAGTAGGTAGCACAGCTTCATGGAATTTAGTTGAAGATGTGGCAAAGTTTCTCGGAGACTGTATCTTAGGTGTTGAAGAAGATAGTGGTGCAGAAGGTATACGCAATAACACTCTTCTTCCGAAATAAGAATTTCCATTACTAGGGAAGCACACGACATTATTTATGAGACGAGGGCTGTGATACTTGACAACAAAGTCGATAAGATTTTTGTGAGACATTGTCTCAGTTTGGAATTATTTATTAAAATGGTATAAGTAGTAAAACTTTATTGCATCACTATTAGATCACACAAACGAAATGAAACGATGAGTTCTTGTTTTGCTTACGGTGTGATAGGCGTTCAGTTATTTCCTATTATTCACTTAGGCCAAGTTACACATAACTAGACTGTTTTATTGTCTTTTAATAATTTTATTTTTATAAAATCTGATGAAAGAAGGAAGAAATCGACCGACAAGGGTTTAGGTTGATCTTGTGTCAATGTCAATCTCATTTTTTTTTTTTTTTTTATATCTTTTTTCCCATCTTGCTTCATTTAAGGCACTTGACTTTGACATATATTTTTTAATTATTCATGACCATGGATACAATCCATTATCTTCATATTCCCTTTTCCAAAACTAATATATGTGCACGTCTTTCCAGAAATCCACTGACAATTCGAAGCTGATATCTCTCAGTACGGGTAGGGACACGATATCGAATAGAAAGTATCGATACTGTACTCATGAGTAGTATCGTTAAAAAAGTATCGTACTCGTAAAAGTATCGAAACAAAAGTATCGATACTTCAAAGTATCGAGTACATTTCATAGGGCCTTATCGGACCCTCTGTAGCCTGATGAGCAACCCCCCCCACGGTGTTAAAATTGAAAGAAAAACAATCGAATTTTATTATAATAAGTATAATCAAAAACAAAAAAAGGACATGTAAATTCACAAATTGCTATATTATATAATGAAAAGAAAATAGGTGTGATTTCTGACACTAAAGAAGTGTTAATTAATATTACATTCATAATTAAAATGTTCATTAAAAAGATCGAAATTTTAAACAATTTAAAAGTATGAAACTTTTCAGATTTGTTTCAAATTAAATTTACTTTTCTTGAATTTTAATCATTAAAAAAAATTATACCCACTTATGTTAACTTGAATCTGGCACGTAGTTAACGGCTGCCATTGGCATGCTTCACTCAAGATTATAATTATAGAAGAGGTTACGTCCGTCTTTTTTTCAGGTGGTTTCAAATAGGTATACACAGCACAGACAGAATAATAGTGTTACACTTGAATAAATCAAATACAGTCAAGCGAAAAGCACAATAAACGGCGAATCAATCACAGTTCCTAACAATATGGTCGCTAAATAAATAACTATGAAACAATACAAAGCGCAAAATAAACACAGTCACAGATTGGAAAGAATTTGAATATGTCAGTTACTGACTTTATAACAACGCAATAGGGCATTTGACAGTATTAAAAATAAAGTGCCAAAATAACGAAAAAGATATGTTTTCTTATCTATTGTCACGTAACCCAAAACGCTTGGGATTGGCGGAGCCTAAAATGACGTCACACGCAAGTAAACTTTCGGTCAAAGTGACATTACATTGTATCGTTTGACGTTTTAATAACAGTCGTGTGACGTCACACACTAGTAAAACGCCATATTGTCCAGAGTAACATTTTCGCGGCAACTTGAAAATGGAGTTTTTGATTTGGTTATTTTTACTGAAATACACAACAGAATGATGAATATCCACTTTTTACGGACTCCATACACATTAGTCAATAACGTGAGATCGTTGCCTAAAACTTGTCAAATACCCTATGGAACGTTTCAGAAGGTTTGCTATGATTTAACAAGATGGCATTGCGATCAATATGAGACGCTTATCCAAATTTTTAAAGGTATCGATACTTGCCAAAAAGTACTCATTTAGTAAAAGTATCGAATACAAAGTATCGCGTACAAAAGTATCGGTATCGAAAGGAAAAGTACTCGATACCACAAAGTATCGATACTTTTTTCGTGTCCCTAAGTACGGGACGCTGGCAGATGGGCCCCAGAAGGAAGGCACATTAGCAAAAAAAAAAACTGAGATAACAGGCTTAGAGCATATACCAATGGAGATGGCATAGACCGGCGAACCCCTCCGCCAAAGTACGTGGCCATCGGGCCATATGCGTTATATAAAACTAGTTCACGCGCGACAGCTACCATTTTGAATCGTTCTGCAGCGCGATTTGGAGCTCCCACAAAAATGGAAAAATTCTGTTGTTTTCCCACGCAAAAACCGTTCTACCACTTCAATACTGCATAAACATGGGTAGCTATCCAATTACAGCATAATAGCGCATTATGCGGCATAATGCTTAACGTTGAGTGTTTCAACTACAGCAACGCTTCGCACAATCGAGCACTCTCAAAAGTAATGCTTTCGTGTGATGCGTGCAATCGTACCAACTCAGAGACAGAAAATTAACAAGTGTTTTTTCTTTAAGTTGGCATTGATCGAAATGTTTTATTTATATGTTATCGTTAGTAATATTATTTATTGTTGAAAAATTATTAAAACTTTCGTTTTATTATAGTTTTTTTTAAATAATCAAAATTAATTCAAACTGTGTTAAAAAATTAAATATAAATATGGATGAAGGTACAAACATTGACTGTTTTTTCAACACTGAACTTAGCGCACTCTGCTGGTGCATTTGAAAACTAATTCACATTCCAATTAAGCATCAGCATAATTCGGCATTGTGCGGCACTGAGTCGCATTATGCTCTGTAATTGGAAAACCACCATGGTGTTTTCTATCATATACAAGTTTTTTTAAGTTCTTAAAAGTTAGTATTCATCTATAAAATTCAATTACAAGAAAAGGCGCAAAATGACGAATTTATGACAAAAATAATAGGTAGAAATTCATAGTGATGTGACGACAAATGAATGAATGGTATGTTTAATATTGGAAAACATTCAACCACATTCAATAAAGTGCATCTGCCGATACAAATAGCAAGTTGATAAAACAAATAAACATCGACAGATTTTATATAAAAAAAAACAAACATTCATTCATTCACGATGTATAACTTAACCAAACAAAGGTGTCGATTCTTGCATAGTTCTCTAAACTTAAGACTAAATTTAACATTAGTCTCTCATTGTTGTCAAATTTAAGTTTAGAGAACGCTACCATATTCGACAGCAAAATCTTTCTTTGAAATATGATAATGGTGTAGATTCTGGCAGGATTCTATACAGAATGAAAAGGAGAGACTCATGTTAAATTTAGTTTTAAGTTTAGAGAATCACGCCGGAATAGACACCAATATCTAAATATATTTACTTATAGTATGATAGAGTATTTAAGACACAGTTTCTTTTATACACAGTAGCTTATTTTATTGAAATTCACAAATGTAGTATGTATTCATCTGGGACGACATATGATATGATTAGAGGTAAATAAATCTCTAGTAACTGGGAGCCTTAGAAGCTGTCTGACTAAAACAGATAAGAACATTAACGTGATGGCGAGTCACAAAATAGATCTTTTAAGTTGCAGTGACTACAGTTCCCTTAGGACAGCAGAGTCCCAAAATCAGAAACAATTATAATAATCTCGAATCTCAAGATAAATGTAGTAATCGTAATCAGCTCCACCTAAAACTATAAATTCGATAAATACTCGATAAATAATAATAACTTTAAACTCGATAAATTTTAGTAAAAGTTCCAACTACCAAAGGAATCAATCAGGAACATTTTATGAACAAGTCACGGCGTAAATAGAATATTAATAAAATAAGTCAATTTATAGTAATATAAGTTATTTTTAGCGAGATTCCGATATTTAATAATATTAAGTTTAATTTAATTTTTAGTAGTATAGAATAATAACTAAAGGAGTCTTTAGGGTTATTCTATATAATAACGTTCCATTTAGTGAGGAGATTTTACGTAACTTATATAGGTCCTCATTTCACCACTTATTCTCGAGCTACTATAATACTTTATTTAAAGGTATAGCATAGCGTTGTCTGAATGCACCTTTAGCTATCCAATCCGTCAAACACAGTTTTTAGTCCGTCCATCTCTGTCTGTGCCGTCACCGTCAAACAGTCAAACGTCAATAGTGGGGACCTTGTGTTCAAAACTAACCTCTATTTATTTATACAAAAACAAAATGAATAAAGATTAATTTGATTTTAATTACCTAATAGAACCGCATAATGTTAATACACAGTTAAAAATAAGTGACTTTTATGTTTAGTTAATATTTGCATTAAATATAGGCAATAAAAATGTCTGTGTGGCTTAAGCCTAGTATTTCTCAGGAAATTATGAATAATAAAGAAATATTTGAAGAAACACAAAGTATAATAGCTGGTGAGTTCATAAGCCAGACATTAAAATAGTTGTGCTTTCAACAATCATGCTTGATTGATAAAAAAATTATGAACTTGAGAGAGGTCTATTTTTTACTTTGACTTTATTAATAATTTCAGACCTAATGGCTGGTCATCTGGAGATCACAAATCTTGTTGAAAATATGGCAGAGGTCCTTACAAATGTTGAAGCTGAAAATCGGGAGAAAGGAATGAAATTCTTTACAAAAATTCTTAAAGAGCTTCCATATGACTATTTAAATGAGACGCAAGTTAAATTTATCACACGGTTTTATATAGATCGCTTGAAAGATAACCATAGGGTTATACCTGCAGTTTTAGAAGGCTACCTGACAATAATTGAAATGAAACATTATGATATGGCTCTTACTTCAGAATTTTTCACGATGCTTTTTAGAGAAGTCACATGCCAGTCACAAGTGAGACAAGATCGATATAATATTTACAACATAATACTTAAATTATTAAAAAAGGATTCCCAATGTAAGTATAAATAAAAAAGAACAGTCTTAAATAAATTCAAAACAATCTTTTTGAGGGTTTTGACACATATGAAACTTATTTGAATATTGATTAATTTCTATGGTCTTGTCTACAATCTATTTGGTTGTAAACATAATGATATGACGAAGAATTATAATGTGGTAAGGGTATCAAAGGTCAATATCTAAACTCGCATGATTTCGATAATATCACCTCCTTATTTGTATAAACATATACTTAACCCTTAACCATTATATGTTATTACTTATCATATATCAACTTCTATGAAGACAAAGTTTTTAATTTTATTTGAAGAATAATATTCTTACCCAAAATATAAGCAATATGTTTTAATGAATGGAATATTTGTATTGGTGTATAACAATTACACTCACATTAGTAGTACGGCGGGCTGTTTCCGCAACTCGACACCCAGTGCCTATTTTGCGTGGGGATGGCATCAGTCCTGCCATCCCAGCTCCTCCAGAAAGCTACACTCACATTACAAATATATGCACTTTTAAACTACAATGATGTTTTCTATTATTTACATTACAGAATTATTTTAATATTGCTTAAATATCATCAGTCTCTCTGGCGTCAATTGTCGTAAACACCATAATGGACTTTTTACACAAGAAGCAAAAAAATTAAACCAAGATATTTTGTTACCTTTTTTGACTATATTGATGATTCTTACATCATAAATATAATTATATAATTTAAACTTGAAATAAGCAGATTGATAGAGTGAAAAAAAAAACATATTTTTGACTCATTTTGGCCCACATAGCTGGGTACAGACTATGACTATCTTTCCCTTAAAACATGTTTTTATTTAATAATTTGTCATTAAAAAAGCAAGTGGCAGGGAAGGCAAAGTAATTGTAATATTGAAAATTTAACTGTTTTGTTGCTTCCAGGTCTAAAAACCTTAGGGCCTGATTTTTTGTATGGATTCATATCAGCTATGGAAGGCGAAAGAGACCCTCGCAATTTATTGTTCCTTTTCACTTTTCTTCCTACATTCCTTAAGCATATATCCTTGGGTCATCTGGTTGAAGAAATGTTTGAAGTCATTTCATGTTACTACCCCATTGATTTCCACCCCTCTCCGGATGACCCAGCACCTGTAACTAGACAGGATTTGGCAAATGCACTGTGCCCTTGCCTATGTGCTGTTCCTGAATTTGGAGAGCAATGTATGGTGTTGCTCATAGAAAAGTTGGATTCTAGTTTAAGAATGGCTAAACTTGATTCATTGGCACTTTTGGTAAGAATATTTCTTGTAAGTTCAATTTTAATTTTAAAATGGTAATTATATTCTAATAAAAAACACTCTAATCTTTAATATTACAGAGAGAAAGTTGTAAGATTTTTTCCGCCGAAACATATGGACCATTTCTTAAGACCTTGTGGTCTTCAATACATAGGGAAATATCTCATAAAACAGATGAAGAACTCAAAATGGCAGCTCATGAATCTCTATCAGCCTTAGTTTCAAAATTAGCGACAACAGCTGGTACAGACCAGGCTTTTGAGAATTTTGTCAAAGGTGTACTTATATCTATGCAAACTGCTGTTGCTGAGTCTTCCACTGTTGCCCAGTTTGTTAAGGCAGCTAAAGTTCTATTAACAACAGCAAATGCTTCAAAAGAGTCCTGTATAATTATAACAAAATCAATGATCCCTGCAATAGTGGCATACTATGAATTCAATCCATCTGCTAAACTTCAAATAGCGAGTATAGATTTTCTTGGAGATCTGCACGATATGGCGAATCATTGGGAAGTTCTCAATGAAATTCAAGCACAAACCATTGAAATACCGAGATTATGTCTAACTGCAGTTAGCAATCCTTCCAAAGAATACCAGATAGCAGGTTTTAAAAGTTTAATTAGAACAAAGAATTTGTTACAAGAAGACTTAGTATTGCCATTCATTGAAGTTCTCATTCATAACATCCAACATTCTCAAGACGAGAACTTATTGAGTGTGAGTGTGGCGACTGTCCATACAATAGCTAGGAAATACCCAGAAATGGTGATGGATTTAGTAGTAAGAGGAAAATGTGATTTAGATAATTTGACTGAAGACAAGGCTGCTTTAGAAAAACGCTTGAATTTATTGTCCAACTTGGCTAGTATTGACGATTTTACCAAAGTTATAATTAGTGAAATGCTTAAAATGGTTACTACGTATAATGAAAATGCGCCAAAAGTAATAGAAGCTTTAAGCGAATCCATGTCTGATGCCTCTCTCTATACAGGACAAAAACTGACTGAAATCGAGAGTGATCATGGTTTGATAGATTCTATCATGTCCTGGATATTAAAAGAACTGCACACAAGTTCTGATGAAGCATTGTCTCATGGTTACAAACTGATTTCTAATACAATGAGAAGTTTGCCAATAGATAAACAACAGAAAATACTATCAAACTATACTGATATTGTGGAAAAGTGTAAAAAGAATGAGGTATATTTTAATGTATTGAAAAGTTTGTACAGTCCACTCAATCAGAGTATTTATAATGAAAATTTTGAGGAAATTATGATTCTGTCTGTAGAATTAGCTTTAAAGAGTAATGAAGAAAAAATTAGATGTCAAGCTTGTGTTTTGATAGCGCATTTCATAAATAAGGTGGAATACGGTCAAAAGTTTGAACTGCTTTACGAGATATTGAAAAATCATCTCTCTAATTATGATTCCAATGAAGAAACAATGATATGTCAAAGATTAATAGTCTTGTATGGATGGCTAACCAAGGCTTTGATTATGAGAGGTAGTGATGTGTTTGCATTTTGGTTAAAAAAGGTAAATATTTTTTAGAACTGGTTTGTTAATACCATTGTATAATTTGTATCCATCCACAAACGCGAAAATTTGTCTACCTGTCTGTTACCTCTTCAGGGTTAAACTGCCGATATAGATGAAATTTGACATAAAGATAGTCCTTCCCGGGACTCGACGACATAGGATAGTTTTTATTTTAGAAATCACGTTTTAAGGGAGTTAAAAAGGGGTGGATTTTTTTTATGGAAAACCATTTTTTTCATGCAGACCTAAGTCTCTGATTAGCAGCTAGTATTTTTTGTTTGAGGAGCTCAATGGCGCCGCTGGTTAGCGCGTTCGGCTGAGATTGCTGAAGTTAAGAAACTTTCGCAGTGGTTGGTCATTGGATAGGGAATAGGGTTTGCCTGTGTCCTAGCAGTGGGGACATTAATAGGCTGATGATGATGATGATGGTTAGCACAAAGACATATTGCTAAGGAACACAAAATCATAGAGATCATACTTCTTTAGATAAAGGTTAAATAAAATATATATGTCTATAAAAATATTTTTTAAGCATTTAACTGCTAGATGTTTACCTGCCCCCTTAGCATGAGCACCCCGATATGATATATAACGCGTTTTTATCATGCTCAATTATTAATAATGTTTATTTCTCCTCACCACATTGTACCATTGTAATAGGTGAATACAGAAATGACAAATAATAAATTGTCAAATTAGTATGGAATTCGACAGTTGGACGCGATAAAATACGTGATATAATGTGAATTGTGGTGTTCATGCTACGAGGACTGGGCCGAGTGGATTTTTTTCTCATAGAAAAATAAAATCTTGGGACTCAAATATTTTATATTACTTTAATATGAAAGTGGATTGAAGTCGTTCTGCCTTATTACAAAACGTGGATTAAAGTTAGTCATGGTTTAAACCTCATGCTGTCTCTGTCTACTTTCTAGCTAACAAAATCATCAGGTTTATTCAATTAGTCAACGGTTTGTTAGAAGGCGGTTTGAGTTGGTTGTTACTTTCATAAGATTATCCTACTAATTATTATAAATGTAAGAGTTTGTGTTTGTTACTCAATCATGCAAAAATACTGAATGAATTCGGATGAAATTTGGTACGCATATAGTTTATGGCCTGGATTGAGATATAGAATACTTTTATCCCGGAAAAATGTTAGGTGGGATTTTTAAACCCAAAGTTCACGCGGGCGAAGTCGCTGACGGCAACTAGTATTATAATATTTGGTCTACACTCTGCAATGGAATTTCGTCATCAAATTAATTGAAATGTTATAATTAGCAAAAGAGGCCATTAGCAAAGGAGTTAACTAACAAACGAGGTGTTACCTAATTCTTCATTATCGATAATAGTTTTCACCTCACTAAAATTTATAATAATTTTGTTCAGATTATGTCCGCATTGACGACTGTGGAATACTGTAGTCTTGGTGCCGAAGCTATACGTCTAATCATGGAAGATCATACAGGCTCTTCTAACACCATGTTCTATACTAGAACTACGCTCTTGTTTAAACAAAGGATGTATGAGAATTTCGCAAGTTTGACCTCAAATATGGGCCCGATGAGCGAAGACGTGAAAGAAGCTTATTTGGTCAGTTGGGCGTATGTACTACAAAATACGTCTAAAGTTATATTGAACAGAGACGTCGCAAAGGTAAGCCTGCTTAATTTATTCACACGGTTTTATACTATACCTACCCCACTTATTGTGATCATACATCATTAATTTTTTGGTTTATATTTTTAATGTTTAGGCATTTAACTGCTAGACGTTTTAATCTAAAGAAAATTTTGATGAAACCGTAACACCTCAGATAAGCGTTTTGTTTTCTTTACTACCAAGATGTTTTTAATGACTTTGAGTGCTTAGATACCATTGAACAGTTATTCCCGAATATTTAATTGATTCATCATCATCATCATCAGCCTCTTTATGTCCCCACTGCTGGGGCACAGGCCTTCCCTATGGATGGAATAGGGAGATTGTGCCATGACCCACCACGCGGGCCCAGTGCGGACTGGCGGGTGCTAACGATTGCAGATGCAATCGGGACCAACCGCTTAACGTGCCTTCTGAAGCACGGTGGAACTCGAGATAGAACATTTTTGGTCGCCCATCCAATGACCGACCACTGCGAAAGTTGCTTAACTACAACGATCGCAGCCAAACGCGCTAACCACCTGCGCCATCGATCTCCTTTAATTTAATTGATTATCTTAACACATAATTATGACTTATGTTCTTACGATAATATTGACTACTCTGGCCAGTTACAACAATAAGATTAGCTAACAGCTCATATAAAATTGAATTTATGTATCTTTGATCGTTTTGATCACTCTTCACACTTTGATTTTTACGGAGCTGACTGTACAGTAGAACATTTACTTAGAAATTCATATAAAAATAAAATCGATTTAGCACCGTGTCATTTATTTAATTAATATAAGTTCATTAGTTGCTATGTCTGTCTATCTGGTCTGTTACACTTTCACAGCTGAGATGCTGTAATGCTTTTGATAATTTATGGATATAAAGGGGACCTTGAAGAATATAAAACTTATTATTTTTTGTAGCGTAAATTAAGTAGGAGATGAAAGTTGGTACAGAAAATATTTATTATACAGAAAAAGTGTGTTTAGTAGGTATAATATATAATTTCAATTTTTTTTATAAACTCGAGCTTGAGCTCGATGGCGCAAATGGTTAGCAAATTCGGCCCGCGATCGTGAAAGTTACCACCCACCACCGCACTGGGCCCGCGTGGTGGGTCATGGCTTAGGCCATGGCCTTAGGGACATCTCCCTTTTCCATCCATAGGGAAGGCCTGTGCTACATTAATAGGCTGATGATGATGATGAATGTATATACAGGGCGTTCCTCGGGTTTATCACACAGAGGGAAAGTATATTAAATATTGAAGATAGGATATTTTACTGAAAGAAGATATTTTATTTTTAATAATAAGTAGAACTGCATTCACAGTTTTTAAAAAATCGCCTGCCATAACTAGTGAGGATTATTTTTTTCTAAATAACTTAGCATTTTTGTGTGACAAACCCGTGGGACGCGATGTATTTTTTTTATATACTTAAGCTATTATATTCATCTAACTTTTTTAAGATATTTGTTTCTTAGGTTTTCACGCACATCACTCATTAAATAAAACTAGTTTTTACGGGTTAATGCACGAAAACTTTTTAAGATGCTTATACACATTTCCGATAAGCATTCATAATTTCATATGCCATGATCTCAATAAAATAAATTAATAAATAAACTAATTTTGTTCCAGATTATGCCTCTATTGATAGAATCGTTGGAATATGACAATAAGGAGTTATTATCTGTGATGAGTAGTGTTCTGTGCTACTACGTTCAGCAGAAACAACTTGCTGTGGCGGACAGCTTACAGACTCTACTGCCTAGACTGGTCAAGTTGACCCAATACACCAAATCTATGGTAAGATCATAATCACATCAATCATCATCATAATGAATTTAACAAAAACATTAAATAAAAAAATTACAAAAACACAAATATACATACACAATAACAAAAAACGAATCGGGCGAGGCGAACGGGAGTTGAGTGGGGGATATAGGCAAGAGAGAGCAGTGCGCGGGTACATTTTTGGAACGAAGTTCCTTACGGCAGGTTTGGAGGGGATAGAGATTTTGCTGCGCGACCGAACTGAAAAAAATGTGATAGTAAAACCGTAAGAAAAATCCGTGGAAAAAAGTGCGTGGAATAAAACCGTTAAATGAGACGTGCGCAGGCGCGACAGTCGCATACACAAGCGAGTTTGCAATTTGTGTCGATTCTACATTAGCCGAAGGAACTTCGTTCCTACCTTGGTGTCCCACGACACCACATCATTTTTTTTATTTTTTTCTCTCTTTCTCCTATACTGACTTCGACTTTGACTTATAGCTAGTAAATGAAATAGGTATATGTACATACATCTATATATAGTACACACATACAGCTCGAGCTAAAGAAGTTTCACTCCAGTCGTGTGGTCATAAGCACACTTGTTTTTTTTATAACGTGGCATAAAAAAATTACATACAACCCTAAATTTCCATCCTTCTACCACCAGTCCCTACTTTTATAGCGTTGCGAAGTTCGCTGGGTCAGCTATAATGAAATTCATGAAAATTTTCAGGATGTACGAATAAAGGGTCTTCAGTGTCTCTACGAAATAGCCAACACTTATCGCACAGTTCTACTTCTGCCGCACAAACAGGACGTTTTATTGGATTTAGCGCCATCTCTTGACGACAAGAAGAGGCTCGTTCGAAGCGCGGCTGTGAAAGCTCGCACCCGTTGGTATTTAGTTGGTGCGCCGGGAGAATCGAAGGAAATGTGAATTTACTGTGCAGAAAAAAAAGAGAAGCGATGAATCTATCTAGTCTATGCAACTTCCTCTGAGACAAAACGTTAACAAATAAACCAATGTTTCTAAAAGTTTTCTTTAGAGAGCAAAGATGTCCGGTTTAATCGAAATGTCACATTTCACACGTAAATTATTTTTCATATTTGCTTTTCAATTCGGTAGTGTTATAATGCGTTGAAAGTTTGGTAGTAGCTAAAGTTTTAGGTATTTTTAAATGTTACTTTTTGAAGTGAAACTTCTGTTTTATATCCCGTAAATGGAAAAATCCTGAGGAAAAGATGAAACATAAATGCGTCAAGAGGGTCACCAGAGTGTGGGAGGTAAGCGCAGCCACGGTAATATTATCTATACAGTATTGTGACTCGGCCCTGTCCTTGAAATAACTGCCTACGGCCGAGCGGGGCGTGGGCATGCGGTACGGCTGCCCGCCTACAGTATTTTAATTTCATCTACATAATTGAGTTTCTTTCCAGTTTTGTGATTGTAAATATTTTATTTCAAATGAAATAAAAAAAAATTGTGAATGAATTAGGAAGTGTTACATAAAATACATGTTATTTCAAGTGTAATATGTAATAAAAAAAATATAGATTTGAGACAGAAAAATACTTACGCCTCGACTGAGACGTACGAAAAGCTTTATTATTAAATTTAATAGTATAATAAATACGCATTCGTATAAAAAGTTTAATTATTGAAGAGTTCAAGCAACCAAAACCAGCACAATGTCGACTATTGCTTTTTGCCATATTAAATTATATAGGTATCTACTTATTTCAATCAAATATTCACAATACAAACGTTTAAGCACGGCTAACTGCTTAAAAACAATTCACACCGTTCGGTCGTCGCTGCGGCGCATTCGCGATTGGATGCCCACCGGGTGCCGCGCGAACTCGAGTGACGTAGGTATGACACGCTTTCCGACCGTTTATATGAAGATAGAATACTGTATAGATAATATTACCGTGGCGTAGCTATTCCCGGCGAAAATGAAAGTTTGAGAGTAACTCCACGAAGGCTGAAATGCTACGAGTGTCACGAGGGTCACACGCGACAATATGTATATTTATACAGGGCATTATTTAGTAAAATATAATCCTTATGATAATAAACCCTTTCGATTGTTATCATAAAATACATAATGAGTTTTTTTTTTTCAAATTTCACGAGTTTACTTATTCCACCTTCCCCTTTTCTTTAGAGGACCACGCGCGCTGGCCTTCGGTGTCACCGTCTAACTGTGGCCACAATTCTAACGCGTACAAAGAAATTTGGTGACTCATTTCTATGTCGCACTATCCGTAAATGGAATGCTCTGCCTGCTCACGCGTTCCCTCCTTCTTACAACCTGGGATCCTTTAAAAGAGGCGTGAAGAAGCAACATGCAGGCCGGCAAGGTGAGAATGGCTAGTGTGGCAGGTAGAACTGCTTTACCAGCTATCTTCACATCTGGACTTCACCACCACTTAACATCAGGTGGGATGGAGTCATTTGTCGGACCTGTCCATAAAAAAATAACTTTGATTCCCATTTGGGTAGCGGGCGATTTTAAAAAAAATATGTGATAGCAGTTCTATTTATTATTAAAAATAGAATGATGTCTTCTTTCAGTATTATTTCATTTCTTCAATATTTAACATACTTTCCCTCCGTGTGACAAACCCGTGGGATGCCCTGTATACGAGTGATGTGTGCTCTGCTCAATTGCCTTATAGCTTATGCACCGCCTAATGTTAGGTTATATCAGAAAAAAGTTTCACTTCAGATGTGTGGTCCGTGCGCACATTTTTTTAAAATAATGTTTTTATATGCGTTTCATATTCAAAATTTTGAAAAATCTTTTTATGGTTTGTTTACCTTTTGCCTCAGTGGAAATTGAATAGAGTATAATTAAGGCTGAATATTGGCGCGTGCAAATGTCAAATCGTTTTCTTTTTTTAATTGTTATCTTTTAGTGCAAGAGTTATGTGCTTGACATTACGGTTTAATTCAGCATAACTTATTCTTTTTCGTGTCTACATTATTAAAACACTAATGGATGTACTCAGACTATACACAGAAGTGATGTGTTGTCTTATCCTATTGATTTCGCAAAGAAAGGGACAAAATCAACTTTGATGTAACTTAAAACGTAAATGACATTTCTTACTGCGGTCTTAAAAACTCGCTGACAAGCAAATTGCTCTGTGTCTATTGTTTTAAGCATTGGCTTCTTCACTTCGTACTTCTAAACAAATAAATAACAGTTTATATTTCTCTCTTAGGTTTTCACGCACGTAACTCATTAAATAAAACTAGTTCTAACGGGTTAATGCACGAACCTTATTTATTTATTGACGTTTCGCAGCCTTTTCAGGTCTGCATCCAGTGTTGCCAACTCGGATTTTGAAAAAAGCGTAGGCCCGATGAGAAAATTACGTAGAATTGGTAAAATTTGCATATGAAAAGTATGTAGATCTACGTACTTTTTTCTGAGTGAAATGAAGAAGTTAGAAGAAACCGAATAAAACGAATATTTGGACAATTTCTTTAAAAACGGGAGATAGAACAAAGAGTTCTTGGAGAAGTCGCTGCATTGGAAGCATTAACCATGCTGTGGTAGACATTTACCATCAGACACAGACACTGGTAGTATCGATTCTGCCATGATACTCTAAATTTAAAACTAAATTTGACATCAGTCTCTCCTTTTCATTCTGTATAGAGAATGACAAGGATGCACTGGTGTTAAATAGGCTAGTTGACACTTTTTGCAATTATGTTTTAAATTGTTAATAATTATTCTATCAGACCGAAAAAAATGTATTTTCTTTTTACCTAGAAGACATACAAAAACGCTATTTATCTAAAGACTTATCTATACTATGACGTCAAAACATTTGTAAACAAACATTCGCAAGCACGTAGGAAATAAACTTTCTGAGTTAATATTACAAAACCATGATTTTTAATAGATCACATGAAAAATATAGTAGTTATCATACACTTGGTAAAAGACTCTAGAAAAGTTGTGGTTTAAATTGCCAAGAGAAATAAACATACTTACACATGAACACAATCATGTTTAAAACTTGCTAAATCCTAACTTTATCGACTGAAAGTCATTTCTTTTTGCAAAGATCAATTCAATGCAAGTACTCATTAAATAAGATTTAAAGTTTAAAAATAATCATTTTAAGGTTATTATGAATGTACCTACTATATCAAAGAGTTTTGTCGTTTCTGCTTTCACAAATCCTGCGTCCAGCATTAATTTAGTCAACAAATCCAATAACGGGAACCTTTTCTACAAGAAACAAGAGTTTTTAGATATATCTTTATGAGAAATAAATATTTGTATAGTTTTTAAGTAAAGTAACGGAAAATATTCTTCTTTATTCTAGTGAATTAAGTTATTTTACAAATTTGAGAAAATTTAAGAAAATACGTAGATTCTGGGACTGAAGTTAGTAGGTTTGCAGAAAAGGCCTAAAATACGTAGATCTACGTAAAAAGAAGTGGAGTTGGCAACACTGTCTGCATCGTCAGAAACATTTTCTTAAAACTAGTTTTATTTAAATTTAAACTAGTTTTATTTAGTATATATTTCTATAATACTTTTCTTACTTTTGTAAAACGAAGAAGAATTAGTTGTGTTGCAGAAAACTAGTGTTAGCACATGCACGGTCATCTTACTATAAATATATAAATAATAAAATTGTTCTCACTTGTATGTATGTTGATAAATAAATTATGAAATTGTTTATGTTGCTTTACACGTTGATGTATTATTAAACTTATATATATTTTTAAACTGGTTTTTTTAATCTACATCAGATTTTATCCTCATTATGCATCTCTTCTGTCTGTAGCAACGATATCAAATACCCTAAGATACAGTACGAGCGCTCAAAATGTGTCCTAATCAAGAAGTGCTTGAAGTCCTCTCAAGCACTTCTTGGTTCACAGTCACGCGCGGACCGTTGAAAAGTCAAGATGCCGCAGAGCTCCGTAAAAAATGCGAAAAAATACTTATAGTATGTTAAGTGTCGTTTTTTCGACAGGTATCTAATCATTTTTTGTCAATTTAACGCATTTGAAGCAAATTTTGTTCTAATACTTTCCATAAACTGAATTAATATGAAATACTAGCTTTTGCCCGCGACTTCGTCCGCGTTATCGTCGTTTTTCGTAAAAAAGTAGCATATGTCCTTCCTCAGGGTTCCGTGGTTTTGATGTGACAGACAGATTAACTTTCGTATTTTAGTAGGGAAATATAATACTGTTAAAAATATCGCAATAAGGAACCGCAGAATATTATTATTATCGCTGTGCCCCGAGACCATCAGCGTGTAACTCCTTGTATGTTATTATGTTAATGTATTGGTAATATTGTTTAGATCGCTTTCACATGAGTCTTAAGTACATATAGAATGAAAATACTTCAGCGCAAAGCTTCCGGGTAGACTACGTTGAAATTTGACCCGTCCGGAACGTGAACATAAAAAATTCTAGGATTGCTAACCCGGGAAAGACCGACATAACTGATCATGTGAAAAACAACTGACACCGAGATCTACTCCAACAACACGAAAGGTCTGCCCTTGAGCCTTATTTATTGTCATTGCATAACACACCGATACTGGGAATTGCGTTCTTTTAAATTGGAATGGAAAATTATTTGGTATTATGGGAATTCTGGGAATAAAGATGGTTTCTCCTGCACCGCAACCTATTAAAATTTGAGCCTCGATTACATTTTGTTGCAACTGGGTTACTTTAAGCCGAGTTCCATTGCAAATTTGTGGTGGTCTTAAATTTCGGAGCAGAATAATCGGAATGCCAATTTTTAAACAAATTTCATGAGAAGGAAGTACGGGCATATTTAAAGAATTTAAAAATTCTATCGGGTAATTAGTGGCTTCTTGTTCATCGGCCATTCTATTTATTGAACTATAAACTTTGCTTTCCCCCTGGATATTCGACAGTATTTTATTATTAATCTCAGATGCCTGGTTATTGCGAGGAGTTAAAATGGACCTTTCGCATAGCCAAGAATTGTTCTTATTTAATATATTTGTTACGTCACCGTAAACTGACGATGTAAGATGTTGTTGGGATTGCACTATACAACATAACTCAGGCGTCAGAATAAGTGTTCCTTGGTGTAGCAGTGGATAGGTATCTTTGGTGAAGGTATTTTCTTTAATAATATATCAGAAAATTCACGATCATCCGGGTTATCTACAGTTCCCACTCGCATGTTTATAGTCAAATAAATAGTCAAATGCACCGATTGTATATCACGCCACAAATAAGAGCTTTTCAGGCAAGCCCTAACCTCAGCAGCTCGGGTTCCCCGTGGTATTACCGTTAAGGTTTGTCGGAAATCACCACAAAATAAAACTGTGATACCGCCCATGGGTCGATCATTTTGTCTTATATCTCTTAAAGTTCTGTCTACCGCTTCTACTCCTTTTCGATGGGCCATCGTACATTCATCCTATATGATTAAATTACACTTTGAACGAATATTTAAACACTACCAAAACAACTAATACGTGGTCCTAACTTTAGCTACCTTACACATAAAATCTAAGTGACTATTTGAATTAAAATATTCTTATAGAATTATAATCAGAAATATATACAACTCACAACAAAAAAGAAATGAAAATAAAGCTGAAACGCCTGTGCAATACTATCTACCTATACCTCCTTCACTTAAAAATAAATACTTATAACTACTTTAATTAATAAAAGTACCTACGCTTAATAATTTTTAATTTGAACGAATATTTAAACACTACCAAAACAACTAATACCTGTTTTACAAAATAACAACAAAAGAAATTCAAATAAACTATTTAAAGACTAAAAGTCGCGCTGATAAGCACGGTTTCGGTCTCCCAGGCGGAGGAGCAGATGAGAAATCCTCATGGATACCCTACAGCCGGCTGCAAGGTTATGTCAGACTCGTACTGACTAAAAAACACCCGTAGGGGCTGCCTCTGGCCGGGAAGGCCTCTAAGGCTTCATCGGAAGCGATCGTCCCCCAGGGGGGGAGCGACGCAGAAAACAGATTTAGACAGCTCGCTCTCGGACCTTTGATACCCTACCGCTGCCGCGACCCGTGTCGAGCGCGGCAAACGTTACACAAAAATAATCCTTATAGCATGATTCAGTATTCACGTGCGACGGTGTGATGGCTTATTTCATGTATAAGTTTGGTGTTTCTATACCGAGTATTATAAACGTAAGAGTAAACAAATATGATCAGAATGCTCCGAACTGCTAAGCTATCAGGAGTTACACGTGTTATTGTGAGTCAACCATAAAAGATAGACATATGCTGTTGCGGGATATTTTTTAGACAATTTTATGTAGAATATTTCCGTCATACATGATTTCTATGTAACTTTAACCATTAAGGCTGCACACGCCACGGAAGCTTAAAAAATGGAGTAACTTCTCCCGTTTTCCCAACATTTCCCTTCACTACTCTGCTCCTATTGATTGTAGCGTGATGAAAAGTATACTATAACCTGCCCAGGAGTATGAAGAATAATTGTACCAAGTTTCGTTAAAATCCGTCGAGTAGTTTTTGTTTCTATAAGGAACAAACACACAGACAGACAGACAGACAGACAAAAATTTTACTGATTACATTTTTGGCATCAGTATCGATCACTAATCACCCCCTGATAGTTATTTTGAAAATATATTTCATGTACAGAATTGACCTCTCTACAGATTTATTATAAGTATAGATATGTGATATTTAAATGCCTGGTCGGTTACACGTCGCCGTATAACCGTCTCTTCCTCGCAGTCCGTAACTGCTATATTGCTAACAGCGTCTCAGCAATAAGGTCTATTTTCTTCCGCATATAGCAATAAGTCGTAAAAATTTACGAGCTTGCATTTCGAACTGTAATAAGTCTTTGACGCATGCGATTTAATTAAGACCTTAGACAGTATGCATTATCTTTAAATTATGCCTTAAATTGTTTTTGACCACGCGATCGTCTTAAGGAGCTCCGTGGATCGTCCAATGTACCTTTTGGACACTTTTCGGCCACGATTTTTTCGTGTTGTGTCTTGGGTATTTAATATCGTTGGTCTGTAGGTACGTAATTGAACTCCTGCTAATCGGTTGCGTCGATTTCGATGAATTTGTCTGCTTTCGAGTACTGAGTAGTCAACTGGAACTGATAGGTAGCATGGTAGTCTGATTTAGGAACGAAGTTCCTTTTTGGACGGTATGGCGAATCCCCCATTCGCCATACCATCATTTTAGGTGATATTTTTACCATCACCATCTAGCGAGGCAACTAGCTAGGCCCATTCGGCACTGGGCCCAGTGCGGATCGCATCACTCACGCAATTTTTATATTTTAAACTGGCAGGACGGCTGATGCATCCACTAGTTTTTTATAAAACTGATATCTCTGAAAAATACATA